ACCAGGGGAAACCCTAGGAGACCATGGGGGTTTGTAATGTGAATGTCTTCAATGATGAACTGTTATATGTTTTTGTGATGCTTGTCTGAGGTCAATGATCTGTGATTGTGGTGTATATGAGGCCTCAGGTTAGTGTGTGCATAGTGGTGAGTGTGTGATGCTTGTCTGAGGTCAATGATCTGTGATTGTGGTGTATATGAGGTGTCAAGTCAGTGTGTACTTGTCTGAGGTCAATGATCTGTGAGTGTGGTTGGTATGAGGCCTCAGGTCAGTGTGTGCATAGTGGTGAGTGTGTGATGCTTGTATGAGGTCAATGATGAAACTGTGAACTGTTTATGTGTGTCTGAGGCCTAATGAGTCACCAGGGGAAACCCTAGGAGACCATGGGGGTTTGTAATGTGAATGTCTTCAATGATGAACTGCATGTAATTGGTTTTCTGATGATTGTAATTCGTCTGTGATGGTAGTGTGTGCTTCCTATGTGGTTTGACCCCTACTGAGTCACCAGGGGAAACCCTAGGAGACCACGGGGATGTGTGGCAAGCATTGTTTACAGTCAAAATACAAAAGTAGAGGTTGCATTAGTCACATTTGTGTAGGTATAATGAAATGCATTACAACCAAATTTTTGTCTAGTAAACTATCCAAAAAAGCTATCCCTGAACATGTCTAGTATTCCAAAAAGTAAAAATTTTGAACACTTTCCATGTTCACAACCCTAAAACAGTTTCACCCTTGTCATATCTTAACTGCTGCACTAGTTTGTCAATCTATCCAAAAAAGCTATCCATGTCTTCCAATGAGTATGTACTCATTTTTTAATGGGCTGAACATGTCAAGTATTCCAAAAAGTAAAAAACGTGAATACTTAACTTGTTCAGTCCCCAAAAAACACTTCCACATTGGTCAATCCAAGTTCATTCCAAGGGCAATTCTTCAGTCACCTCCAATAATGCATTTGAGTCAGCTTTGAAACAGATTGGTAGGTTACCTTGAGCTTCTAGTTTACTTTTTCCTACATGTGGCACCTTGTAGTTATTGCCTCCCCTGACTTTCATAATTTCATTCATACACAACTGTAGAGTCAACCAAACATGATTCAATGCAATAGGACTGAACTAAGCATAAGCACTTTCCACCCCCACTCTGAGATCATGAACTGAGTTCCTTGGTGTGGTCTGTTGCAGTGACTGAATAGCTCTAAAAAACCCTAGATCCAACACATTTAGATCAGGGCTATTAGGAGGCTGACATATTAGTTCAATGTTAAATCCATATGAAGTGGCTTCTCTTATGAAGTCAATATCAGTTGGATTGATATGAGGTCTTGCATTGTCTTGTTGTATGTAAATATGCTTGCTCACACCTATAGGCCACTTAGCTTTGATAGCAGGCAATACAAAACTGAGAAGGCATTCCTTGTAAACATCCTTTGTGATTGAAACAATAGCTTTCTCCTCAAGTGTGCCAGCTTCCCTGTGTTTACTGTTTCTTTTAGCTGGTTGCATTGTTACTAAATGGGAATATTCCAATTTTGCCATCAAAAATCACTTCACCATTTGCTTGTATAATTGGTCTGGCAACTGCACACAGGAACATCACTTTAGTGATGAATCTTTTAGATTGACATGTCCTATGAGGCTCAACCTCATCCAGATGTAGGTAGTACCTCTGTGATGCCTCTGTCATGTAAAACCATTTTTCATCTACATGTACCACGTTAAACATGCCTTTATACTGGGGTACATTTGTTACTGTGTCCTCCTCAATGTTAGAAATGATCCATTTTAACCTCTGTATTTTATTCAAGTCTGTAAGATGAGGTTTGATAGCTGATGTGTGACTTTTGAACTCACCTTTTTGTTTGAGTCTGTGCACACATGATTTTGGATGACCTAAAGCTGCAGAGAGTGACCTGAGATTCCTTCTGTTGCTTAGAGGAATATGCAGCATTTTTGACAGGTCAATGACTAAGCCTTTCCTACCAACTTTTCCCTTCATCCTCAGATCTGGGTTCAAGGGAATTCCAGATGCCTGTTGTTGCATGAGGAGATGCCATATTGTTGATATAGCCTTCCGGTGCACCCGGAACTGCTTGGCTATTTTTGTCAAGCTGTCATAGCCAATCTTTCCGTCATCTTGCCTTTCACTTTGAAGAAGAAGAGTTTGGATAGTTCTTCTATCTTCATTCGACAGTTTTTTGTACTTTGTTCTTGTAGCAATTTGTAACTCAGAACTTTCTGCCATTTTTTGCTTGACAAACTGATGTAATTTTGCACTACTTCGTTGGGCTGTTGCCTTTTTAATGTTGCTTTTGGGGGGAGTTTTGAATTTGATGATGACAGTGCAGCCATGAAAGGGAATACTTTCCCTCCTTTTTTTTTTGGGTTGGCGGCAGCCTATTAATAAGAACAGATAAAGCACAAGTCTGAAAAGGTTGCAGTGTACTGTTGTGAACAGTACACTGGTAACTTTAAAAATTACCCCCCACCAATTCGAAGGGCAAAAAGGCCAGTCAAAGGGTGAACAGTAAATCACCTAAAGATGTGTGCCATTCAAACGAGCACTTTTAAATAGGGACGGAGGGAGTATTTTAAAAGTATCATGCTGCTCAATATTGGACTCCTAATACTCAACATAATAAATGTAATGTTCAGTAAAAGTTCATTAATGCCCACTTGACAGAAACCATGATTTCCATCTCAATAGAAGATGTTTGATGCTCAATGAAAATGTTGTAACGTTCAACTAACAAACCTTACGATTTTCATATTAATGCGCATGCATTTTGTAAGTTACACATGCTTATTTGCTACTGATGTTATGCTCATTTGTAAAACGTCATATCAATGAATATTTCAAAAGTATCATATCACATTAAATTTGCATATTAAAATTCATAGGTTTATACATATAATTTAATAAGTTTTATAAAAGAAAAAAAGTTAAATAGAAGATATGAAGCGAAGATCGTGATACTCATTGTTAACCTCCTAATACTCAATAAAATAGGTTAGATGCTCACTAAAAGTAAAATATTGCTCATTTAGCGGAAGCCGTGATTTTTCGCTTAAATTACAAAAATGACACCCATTTTTTTGGCCTATGTTAGTTATTGGACTGTCTTCCTTAGTTGGACCAGGTGTACATACATCCAGATGTATGATATAGGCACCGTTATGATGGAGGACTCGTGAATGTGAGAAGGAGAGAAAAAGTGTTTTCTTATTAAAACTTGTGTTCTAAAAAGAAAGAGGACACTTTTGATTTGGAAAAAGTTTATAACATATGATTATTTTACTTCTTTGATCGAGAGATTTGTTCATTTCAAGTGAGTGAAATATGTTCTTCTCCTAGCAATGCTTAGATGTTGTGTGTTCTGGTGTAACTGATCGAGTTCGTGGTTGGCAAACCTGCTTCAATCTCATTACTACAGGAGAAAGTTAACGCTTAACTGGATCTCCCTTTTGATGACTGGTCAAACCGAAATTTTAGCTCATTTCTATGCGGCTAAGTTTCCTTTGTTGGTTTCTGGTCAAGTCAACTATCCCTTTTTGGTGGCTGGTGAAGCCGGAATTCTTGATTTAATTTGTTTTTTGTTCTAGTTTGCTTTTAAGTAGCAAATTGGCAAGTTCAACAGTGCTATTAGACTAGACTACATAGTTGCAGGATTAGTGAATTTGTTTGATCCTTGGAGGCTATCTGATTCTACATCTCATCCAAATATAGTCTCGATCCATTGTATTGTTTTATTTCTTGTTATTTTTATCATTAAAAAATAAAATTTCTTTTTGCCAAAAAAGTATGACTAAAAACATATTCCCATTGGTTTTTTCTTTATTTTTCCTTATAATTTCAAGCCCGTTTGGCATCCTTGTTTGCGAGTATCCTTGTTTGTGAATTATCAATCTTATCAATAATCTTTTTCACCAAACACGCAACATTTAATTTCACGTGTAAAATTGTGATAATAAAATGTATTATAAATACTCCTTCTATATGAATACCATTTTAGTTATTTTCATATAATTTTTTTCCTTATTTTGATAATAAAATGTATTTTAAATACTCCGTTTGTATTCTTTTGTCTGTTACAATTAACAAAGTTTAAGAGTAAAATAGTAATGCTAGCTAATATTGTATAAAAGGAGAGAGTGAAAAAGTATAAAAACATGTAAAGATGTATTTTTTTGCAAACTTTCTGACCTATTATAATTATAGTATCTGTTCTATTAAAACCAACATCCTACAATTGAAATGAGATCTGAACCTGTGACCCAAGAGCGGATGGTTGTGAGGGCAGGGATGGGCTCTAGCCCGATCCAACTATTTTTATAATTAGTACTCCTTCCGTCCCGTAAAATTAGTCTCACTTTGACTTGGATCGGAGTTTAAGAAAGTGGGAATAAAGTGGAAATGTATGATTGTGGTTGAGTAAGAAAAAGATAAATAAATGTTAGACACACAAAACTTTCCAAAAAGGGAAATGGGAACAATTTTTTGGGACGGCCCAAAAAGGAAAATGGGACTTATTTGATGGGAGGGAGTATATACCTATAGTAAATCAGCCCACCCCAAAATTTATTTTCATCCGACTCCCACCCCAAAATTAATTCCCAAGCTAATTGAAGTTACCTGCGTTTTGCCCTTGCGAACTGGCCGATTACTGAGAAAGAATCGAAGCCAAGAAGACGGAGCTTCAGCGCTTGCGAGTTGAGAGGAAGAAGGGAACACCAAGCCACCGCCGTCCACGCCGCTCGTCTAGGGCCCTGCGACCTGCGTCGTTGGCCGTCCTTCCGGCTTCCTCTCTGGACTCCGGCTCTGGGCTCTGCCACAGTACTTCCAGCTCCACTGCTCGTCTGCTCCAGGTAAGTTTTTTAGATTTTTAATCGAAAGAATGGCTAATATATTACTATCAGACTATTCAATTCCAAAAATATCACTACTTTTCAATATTCCAAAAATATTACCATTATTAAAATAGATTTGGAGAGCTCCATCGTGCATCGATCTATTCCAGCACTGTGACCCGTGGGCAGTCACCATGACCGGTGGGGCAGTCACAGTCACGGTGACCGGTGGGGCAGTCACTGTGTCCGGTGGGGTCACTTTGGCGGCAGTGGCGGTGGTGCCGGCACCGGCACCTACAGTGGCGGCTGTGCCGGCAGTGGCGGTGGTGCCGGAAGTGGCGGCGGTGCTGCGGTCAGCGGTCATAGGACTACTAATCAAATGATAAATGTATGATTAAATACAAGGAATATGCCTTTTAGTCACTTTTTTGGAAGTCACAAATTTGTCGTTTTCATTCATTTTAGTAATATTGGAATAAAAAGGCCTTTTTAATCTAATAAATTGTGATTGTGTTATTGTATATTATTATTTTAGCCTTGGATTAGTCCGTTAGTTAAGCAATGTGATTACTAATTAAATTTTTCGGTGCATAATAAAATAGTGTTTAACTTATTACTCCGTATAAGTTTATAAATTATAATGATTAAAGATAGAATTAAAGATTAGAAAATGATTTATTTATTATACAATTGAAGATTAGAGAATGATTTATTTATTGTGTGGAAAGAATTTTAATTTTAATTGAATTTTGAAATTGGGAATACTTATTAGTTTTATGTACAACGATTGTTTTTTCCTTATTAGTTTTATAGTCTTATAGAAGTATTTTAATTTATACGAATATTGAAAATATTTATTAGAATAGATAATGAACTATTTGCCAAGAAAGGAAAGAACTTGATTTCATCATTCTTTTCGAAAGTGAATCGTCAAAGTGGTGAAGGGAGTTCTGAATCTATGACATTGAGGATATTTGTAAACTTGCACAAATGTTTTATCTCACTTGAGTTTGAGTTGATTCACTACAAACTTAATATTGTTTCAACATCTCAAGTTTTGACACTTGTTAAATTATGTCAATATTTGATGGAGACTGGGAAATCAGAAACTTATGTTATGCTGACATGATTAATTCGTCTTGTGTTTGACCCTACCTGTTTCTACCACTACTACGGAAAGAGCATTTTCAGCAATGGAGCATGTGAAGATGGCACTTCGTAACAAAACAGGAGATAATTTTTTTGAATATTCATTGATGATCTACATTGAACGAGATTTTGTCAATAATATAGATGTAGATTCTATTATTGATCAATTTTATACTTTAAAGTCGCGTAAGACAACTTAAATGATGCTTTGATTAATATTTAAAGTGTTGACGACTTGACGTATTATTATGTATGTCTTTCAAATTATTTTCTTGGCCCACCCCATTGTAACTTTTTGGGTCCGCCCTTGCTGTGACCCCCTCTTTGGAAGTTTCACAGTGATGCCATCAGAACACAATGTACTTGGAAAACATGTAAAGATGTTGAAAAAGTGATACTCGTAATAATTATTGTTTTAAATGAAAATCTTGTAAAAGAAAAAATGTTGCAAAAATTAAAATAGACTATTGCCCTCCCTTCTTTTCTCCTTACCTTGCCTTGTTTTCCCTTTCCTTCATCCTCATATTCATTCTCTACCTCTGCCCGCACAGGTTCTCTTTTCTTATCTTTTACCGCCGCTCATCCAATCCTTTTCAATTTTGAAGGTTATTGCTTCCGTCCTTTGCTTCTTGGACTGGGGGAACGTGGGATACCTCGCCGATATATAGGGACTGAGCCCATTTCTTCCTCTGGGTGGCGGAGTCACCCCCGGTGTTTCCTCCAGCGATGAGGTGAATATGGTGCTTCTTTGGCTGAGGCTCCACAAATTCCTCCTCATCGCTGAGGTTCTCAATCTTTCTCTTTTTCGACGAGGTCTCCCCTCCTCGATTGTCGGTGTTCACCCAGGTATATTTCCGTGGGGCACCTTTAACAAGCTGGAGGAGTTCACCTTGTTGAATTAAGCGCTCAATGGCTTTTTTGAGTGTGATGCAATCGTCTGTTATGGGAGGTGTTCCTGTGATAACGGCAGTATGTGCTGCCTTGGTGAATGGCGTAGATCTCCTTCGCCGGGCAAGGGTCCCTGGGTAAGAGGTCCCGCTCCTCCGCAATAGATCAAAAAAGTTTATTCACAATTCACTATTGGAATGAAGATCAAATAGATGGTTTGGCAATTGGCATCCACAAAATGAGGCATTGGAATGGGGAAGCCATGCACTTTGAGACTACTATGAGAAAGATGCAAAACCTGAGAACCAACTTAGAGATTAAAAAAACAATGGGCCGAATTACCGGGTTTCAGCTTTCTACTTTACTGCTGCATCATTACGTTAGCCGACCCGGTGACTGGTGAGTTCTGAAAAGACGGAGAAGCAAATGGATTCACTGATAAAGGAGTTCTTAAATATAAGCTTTTACGAACTTATCTTTGAAATTTCCTTCACCTCTGTATATCCCCATATACACACATATATTGGTCTAAACGTTTTGCTTAATTTGATTTCTAAACGAATGAAGAAACATTTTTTAAATAAAAACTTTTTCTACTATATTAAAACTACATGATTCCAATTTTTATGTAGAAACAACATGTCATAGTTGATAGTCCAGCCCGGTGAGCAAGATAAGGCAATTGCACACATATATTATAAGGCTAAGTGGCTAACTCAAGCATTTTATTACACAATTTCTATACACTAGTAACACCACACATAGAAAGGAAAGCAAATGAGAAGGGGAGATATTTTCAAGTGTCGCAATACATTTCAACGAACACTTTCAAAGCATTACTTACGTACATAAAAAAATCCATACATGTAGAATTCAAGATTGAAGAGGATTGATGAGCGGCGGTAAGAGAAGAAAAGACCTGTACGGGCAGAGCTAGAGAATGAATATGAGGATGCGCAGATGGACTATGAAGGAAAGGGAAAATAAGGCATGGTAAGGAGAAAAGAAGGGAGGGCAAGAGTCTATTTTAATTTTTGCAACATTCTCTTTTACAAGATTTTCATTTAAAACAATAATTATTACTGGTATCACTTTTTCAACTTCTTTACATGTTTGCCAAGTACATTGTGGTCTGATGGCATTACTGTGAAACTTCCAAATAGGAGGTCACAAGTTTGAATCTCATTTCAGTTCAAGAATGTTGGCCTTAACAGAATGGATACTCAAAAGAATAAATAAGCACAGCGGGCTCCCACGTGGTCCTCCATCGGCCAGATGGTCCTCCGACGGCCAAACATCTATCAACTCAGAACATGAAAGCTTTTGCAAAACGTTATTGGATAGTATTTCAATAGCTGAGCTTAAAGTTGTGGGAACTGGAATCTCTTTCTTTGTAAAGTTGTAAACCATTAGAGATTTAGAGTGCTTTGTGTCAATTGTGATATGAACTCTTACTCCTAGATGATATGAACTCTTCTCTTACTTTTTATCTCCTTTACCTGCCCTTTATTTAATTAAAAGAGTTTATGAATGTCAACTTCACAGGAAAGACCAGATATATACAAAAGACTGGATCAAAATCTTGGATTTTATATGGCACAATGCTCTCTCGCTAAGATAGGTGTGTTGTCGAGAGCATGGGAGTAATTTTCGTCCGTAAAAGCATCTTGGCGCGACTATCAAGGAAGGTCCGACATGTCCAAGCACGATCACTCTGCAGCAATAACAAACCACCCACCAACAACAGCAATATAAACAAGGAAGTAGTAGAATCTTCCTCTTCCTCTTCTTCTTTGACACGATATGACGCTTACAAGGAGCTAGACAACCTCAATTTCACCACGGCTGCTAAGATTCTCTTTTCCGATCCTCCCAAGAAAAAGAAATTTGGGTATTCTTTTCGGAACTCTCTTTCAGGCAATCTTTCCAAAACTTTATTTGTTCCTATTATATTAATGTTTACTTGTTTGAATATTTAGCACTTTGTGATTCTTGCTTATTATCATGCAGCTTTTATACAAACATAGAATGGAGATTCTGAACACATCCAGTATAAGCTGTTTTAATAGTTTGATTTAATATATTTCTCTCTACATTTAATAAGACTAGGATAAAGCTTATTTTCATAGGAATGAAAACATAGAGCCACAAATAGAAGAGGAAGACAAGATATGGGCAGGTTACTAGTGCATTTAATCTGCATTGTTTTATGTTTAAGTATGGAACTTTGTTTATATGATCGAACTTCCCCTTTCAAGGAACTAAGGAAGTACGGTGGTATATATTACACAAGTCTACTTACTGATGTGTGAGTATGGTACTGTAGCCTCACTTTATTATTTTTTTAATTGCACAGCAGTGATCTTATTCATTTTATGTTATAATTTTTATTTATTTATCTTTATGATGGTCAGGCTCGATTTCCATCTGGTACAACTTTTCTTTGCCTGCCTGCCTTCACTTGGTACCCCTCTCATCACTCATCCTTGGTTTTACTATATGTTTCAAAGTGTTATTTTATTGTTGACATAATTTGAATGTCAAATGTCATGTAACAGCTGTGTATTTGGTAGCCCAATATGCTCGCTATGACATCAGAAGAATGGAGGCGGTAATGGAACACCTCAATTGTTTTTTTTTTCACATCCATCCCACTTGTTCTTGTTGCTCCACATTCCGGGTTTAATGCACCAAACTCGCTCGTGATATAGAAATTTAGCGCATTAACCCCATGTGATTTTAAAAATGCGTCAAACCCCCTTGTGTTTTAATTAGTCATGCACATAACCCCATGGCGAATTTTTTAAATCTTCTACTATTTGACATCTTAACCTATTTGATCCATGAACCTAGTTCCTATTCAAACTATATGAAACCATCTCAGAATGCGAACCTCAATGAATTGAATTGTTAAGCTCTTCAAATTTATTCAAATTTTCATTTCAGGAAGTGGAATTAAAAAAGAAAGCTGAAGAAGAAGCAAAAGCAAAAGAAGTGGAAGAAACAGGGGCAGATATGGAGAAAGAAGAAACATCTGATCCAAAGCTGTTGGAGTTGAAAGCGAGGGTGGAGAAGTTGGAGGAGGCAGTCAAAGGAATTGTGGTTGAATCAAAAAAGGAGTCGCCAGGTAGTCAGGATAAACAAACTTCAATAGCCGGAGAGCCAAACACACAAGTATCAGCTCACAAGTAGACACATTTCTCATGTTGAAAACAATGCAGACTACTGGGGAAACACCATTTTCTTCAGCCTTTCTATATTTTTCAAGTACATGCATGGTTGAATTAATGATATACCTGTCATCATGAGGGAAGCAATATATAGTGTATTTTTCATTATCGTTCATAGTATTAAAAACATGAAATCTTCTACTCCCTCTGGTTCTGAAAGATCTTTACACTTTCCATTTTTATCAGTACCAGAAAGATCTTTACACTTCCTTATTTTCCTTATTTGGCAAATAAATCTACACAAAATAGTGTCAAACAGTGTCAAACAGTGTTTATTTCCTTAAAACCTGTGAAGTCAAAGTGTCAAGATCTTTTGGAATCGGAGGGAGTATATTGTACCAACAAAAAAATATATGAGGATGATATAATAAATTCTACACTTTCAAGTTTCAATATGATATTTTCATGTTGATAAAAATAATGACATACTATGAACTCATGTGTTGAATTGTTGAAATAACAATGCCATTTTCAAATCCAATTTTTTGGCATTTTTAGATTGAATATAATTGCACTTTCAAACCTGAAATTACACATTTTCGTACCTAATTTATGGGAATTTACATCAAAATCATGACATTTCCTAGCGAAATATGGATTCGTCAGATTAAGTTATGATATTTTCTTATTGAAATGTAAAATGTGAGAAGACTCAAAAATGATAAAAGGATTTTTACATTGAAAATGATGTCATTGTAAACACCACGGGCCTGTTTACAAATAGAGGTATTTTCCAAAACTCGAAAACACAAAACGTGTTTACCAAAAAAATTGCTCGAAAATTGGAGGAAAGAGAACAGAAAATGTGTTTACCAAATCGTTTTCTAGAACCAAAAAATGAGATAAGTCTCTGTTTTTCTTAATTAATTCAAGAAGTGAGTTTTAATAGTTTTCCAAATTTGGGAAACGCATAATGCATATGCTTCAGAGTCGCTGCAATGAATTTGCATAGTTTGGATCCGGTCCCACTTCGATGTCAGTTCCAGTTCGGTCCGGTCTACGATCTGACGGTCCCTGGTCGGTTGGCTCCGTTCAATGGCCAAGCAGCTCTGGTCTGGTCGATGACCCGATTGTCCCGATCTGGTCGATGACCCGACGGTCTCGGTCCGATCAATGACCTGAAGATCGTTGTCTGGTCCAATCGACGACTCGACGATGCTTGTCTGGTCTGGTCCACGACCTGACAGTCCTTGTACGATTCACAATTCGGCGATCCTTGTCCAGTCCAGTTCGGTCAATGACCCGATAGTCTCTGTCCAGTACTCCAGTTCGATCCACGACCAGGCGGTACCTATTCGGTCTGATCATCAACCAGACGGTCTCGGTTCGATCCGCTCGACTACTCGACAATCCCGGTCTGGTCTGGTCGACGACCAAGTGGTCTTGGTTCGGTCTGGTCGGTGACCCGACAGTCCTAGCCCGATATGGTTGATGATCCGGTCCCTGTGTTGTCCCATCCTATCAATGGCCTATCAGTTCCCGTCATGTCCGGTCAACGAACCGGTGGTCTTCGTCCTGTTTGGCCATAGACCCACCAGTTTCTGTTCGATTCAATTGACAATCGAGCGGTCCTAAGCTGGTCCTGTCAATGACCCGGCGGTCTCGGCACGGGCCGGTCAATGACCTGGCGGTCTCGGCACGGCCCACTCAATGACATGGCGGTCAGTCTCAGTATTTTGAAATCATTTTTTTAAGTGAAGAGTTTTAAAAAGGTTATTTAGTTGTCAACCAATAAAAAAATGGGAAAGAATTGGTCAACCTAACTGTTGAGATCGATCAGGACCGGCCAGTTTCGGTCCAGAATTTCCTATACGTGGGACATGGTACCCTACTTGGGTTGTACTAGGTTCGGTTCCGGACTAAGACCATTCTTTCGGTATTCTGATCAGTCACATAACCAAGTGAAAAAATTTGATAACCACGTTTTCAGGTTTGAAAATGGAAAACTAAAAAATGAAAACAGAAAATTGAAGATAGAAAAACTGGAAAATGAAAACATAAAATTGGATAACGGAAAACATAAAACAAAATTAGTGTTATTAATATTTTCAAAAATAAGTTAAACATTAAGAATTAATGAGAATCAAAAAATAAAAATAAAAATAAAAAGAAAAAAATTAAAACAAACTTCCCAAAAAAGAAAACATGAGAGCGAAAAAACAGATCAATAATACTATTCATACCAACATAGGTGCATCTCCTTTTAAGTGAGCTCATCAGCTAAGAAATTCAAAGTTAAGAGTGCTTTCACGGGAGTAGTCTTAGGATGAGTGACCCCTGAGAAGTTTCTCGGGGCGCGCATGAGTGAAGACAAAGTGCGCGGTAAAAACTTGTGGTGCTTTATGAAGACAATACTAGAGGTCTAGAGGGTATGTAGGAGTAACTACCTCGGGTCATACAGGTTCGGGGTGTTACAGTAGGGAAGGGTCCCACGTATAGGAAAGTCAAGACTGAAACCGACTGGTCCCAGTCGATCTCAACAGTTATTTTGATGAATTGTTTTCCCATTTCTCTATTGGTTGACAACTCAACGACTCTTTTACAACTCTTCACTTTAAAAAATGATTTCGAAAAAACGAGATTGAACTCATTGACCAGCTAGGACAGGGCCCACTGGGTCGTTTAAGGGACTAGGCCGGGACCGCTTGGTTCTCGATCGGACCGACCATCGGGTCATTTGCCAAGCAGGATGGGGACCGTCGAGTCATTGATTAGACAAGACGGGGACCACCGGGTGGTTGATCGGACACGACGGGGGCCACCGGGATATTGACCGAACTGAACGGGGACCACCGATTTGTTGACTAGACCGGATGGACTAGGACTTCCCGGTCGTCGATCGCACCAAACATGTACCGCCTGGTCGTGGATCGAACCAGACCGGGACCGGCGGGTCATCGACTGGACCGGACACGGACCATCGCGTCATTGACCAAACTGGATATGGACCACCTGGTCATGGACTGGACAGAGACCGCTGGGTCGTGGACGGGACCAGACAGGGACCGCCAGATCATGGACTAGACTGGACAAAGACCGCCGGCTTGTCGACTGGACCAGTCAGGGATCATCGGGTCATCAACCGGACATGACCGGGATTGCTCGATCGTCGATCGGAACGGACATGGACCGACGGGTCAATGATCGAACCAGACCGCCAAGTCATTGATTGGACCAGATAGGGATCATCGAGTCATTCACCGGACCAGACTGGAACTAATACGAGAGCGGGACCGAATCCAACACTAGGCATAAGTATGCAAATTCATTGAAGCGCCATTGCAACATCCGCGTTTTCCAAATTTGGAAAACTAGTAAAAGTCATTTCTCCAATTCATTAAGAAAAACAGAAACATATCTCATTTTTTTTGTTTTGGAAAACTATTTGGTAAATGCAATTTTCTGTTTTCATTTCTCCAGTTTTCCAGCAATTTTTTTGGTGAATACATTTTATGCTTTCTTTTTTTTCAGTTTTCTGAAAAACTGGAAAGCATCTTTGTTTTGATGATATTTCCAAAAAATTGCTATGACTTTAAAAAGTTTAGTGATATACTAAGCGACAATCTTTGTATTCATATAATGGGTAAGTTTGCACTGTCACACTTCTTATTCATTTACATTACTATGACATTTTCAATTATTGTTATACAACGATTAAAATTTCAGATGTATTTTTTATTAAACAATTGGATGATAAGTAAGTATAATAGTCTGAAGCACATACGCTAACCTACTCGAGAACTAAAAACGAGGAGTTCGTAAACTATTGAAATTGCATATGAAACCAAGGACTATATTCATTCTTTGCTCCTTGGTGATATTTTAAATATATTACTTTTTTATTAACTCACCCACCAAAAACTAAATTAAAATAATTATTTGAATTAAACATAAGATGTTTTATTATTTTAGATGAAGAAAAAAAATCTAAATTGTGATTCTTTAGACAAGTCAAATGTAGTCCAAAGAAAAGCATTTGAATCATTGACACCTGATTCTTAAGAACACCTGATCTTTCGAATTATGAGATAAGGCTCAAGGTTTAGACTCCAATAATATCATTATGAAGTCATATAGACCGATCTGAAAAATTTTGTAGTAGAACTAAATTAAATTTCACATGATTTCAAAATCATGTTTTTGGAGTAAGAATATGTCTACAAGCAACCTATGACAATGAGATTTACATTCCTTCTGAATCAACATGGATTTTTAAACTTATCGGAAGACAACTTTTTATAATTTCTCCTCTTTTACAAAAATCAACAAAACTCAAGGTTAGTCACTCGAAAAAATTTAGTATACCTGTCTAGACATATTCTTAGTCATGGATAGTTTTATGTGACATTATCGAGAGTTTATAGTAAACATAGATTGAAAATCTTAATAAATGAGAATGAATAGAATTCATTACACACTATCCCAAATGTTATCCTTAAAGAAGTTTTCCAATTCAAAACTTATAAGGAGTATAAATTTAATACTTCATTACTATCTTCGTCTCATATAAATGTTCAACGTTTACTATTCTTCTGTCAACAAAAATGGTTCGTATTTGTTTAATTTATATATATATATATATCCACTTTTTATAAAATATTACCTCTGTCCCACTCAACTTTGTCAAATTGATGTTAGGTGAGAAATTAGAATAGTAAAATTTGTGTGGTTGAGGTTTGTGCAGAAGAGAGAAATAAACAGAGCCACAAAAACATTGCTTTAAAAGGAAAGTGACAAAGTTTTTTGGAACAAACAAAAAAGGAAAGTTGGCAAAGTCCAGTGGGACGGAGGGAGTATGAGTTTTATTTTGCGAGTTTATAAATCTTTTAAAGTAGTTTATGAATATGTAATTTTAATTTCCTAAAAATAATCTTATCAATTAATTTTATGGTAAATCAAATATCATAAATCATATGAACACATTGAAATGACACAAAGAGAGTATATGTTATCGACGATACTAACTAAAAAGTACTCCCTCCGTTCCGGTCATTTCTTCCGGTTTTGACCGGTATCGCAAATTTATGCAAATTTATAAAGGGGTTGACTTTCCCCTTATACCCTTGGCCGAATGGAGTAAATGAATGGGTAAAATTTGAGGTAAAAACTTTAATAAAGTGAGAAAGTGATTAAAAGTAGATTGATTGACATGTGAATAGTAAAGACTATTCACATTTGACTAAAAGTTTCATACATAGGCGGCAATCCAAAAAAAAGGAGGGAGATTAGTTCCTTACATATACCACTCCCTCCTTACACACACACACACTTTCAAACACTGCACACACACGCACACTGAAAACAAAAAAGGCAGCTTCCATGGCTGCAATATCTTCCACAGCTGCAGCTTCTTCTTCATTTTCTCCAGCTTCTTCCACACCAGGACCCCTAGATCTGCAAATAGTAACAACGGATGGTCATGGTGCTGCAGTGGGGAAAAAGAGGCTTTCGAACAGTGAAAAAGAGCGCATAACACATGTACTCTTAATGTCCAGTAGGAGGGATTATTTGGGGTACTTGAAAGCTCAGAAAGGTATTTTTGTCATACTCGCTGAAGAGTATGAAGTGTCTAGAAGAACTATTTCTGGCATTTGGGACACAGTTAAAAAGCAAGTTGTATAAGGTGATGCAGTAAATGTGTGTAGGAAGTACCATGGCAGAAAAAGGATAGAATTTGATCTATCTCAAGTATCACAGATCCCACTGCATAAAAGGACTACCATAAGGTCCTTGGCAGCTGCCACCTCAATATCAAAGTCAAGTGTCCACAGATTGGTTCAAAGTGGTAACATCAGAAGGCATACAAATGCAATAAAGCCATTTCTAAGTGATGCAAATAAATTGCAAAGATTGAAGTTCTGTCTTAGTCAGATAGAGAAGTCAGTGCCACAGAAGCCTACCTTTCAAACATTTGAGAATGTGATTCACATTGATGAAAAATGTTTTTTCATGACAAAAACATCTCAAAGATTATACATGGGGTTGGAAGAGGGTGATCCACACAGAGTATGCAAATCAAAGAGGTTCACAACTAAGGTCATGTCTCTAGGTGCAGTGGGTAGGCCCCTTTTTTCAGAAAGTGGTGAGGTCATTTGGGATGGAAAAATAAGCATGTTTCCATTTGTTGAACATGTTGCAGCAAAAAGAAGAAGCAAAAACAGAAATGCAGGTGTTATGGAAACCAAGCCTATTCTTAGCATAACAAAGAAAGTGTTCAAGGACATGTTAATCAACACAGTCCTCCCAGCTATCAAGGAAAAATGGCCTCCACAGTTAAGCAAATAAATCATAATACAACAACACAATGCAAGGCCACACATTTCACATGATGATGTAGAGTATATGAGTGCTTCCATGGCTGATGGGTTTACAATCACCCTTACTAACCAGCCCCCCAATTCTCCGGACCTTAACATCCTAGACCTGGGGTTTTTTAGGGCAATACAATCTTTGAAAGACCAGAATGCACCCAAGACAGTGGATGAACTGTTACATGCAGTGGATGATGCTTTCAAACAACTAACACCTATGACTCTAAACAAAGTTTGGCTAAGCTATCAGTATGTTATGATTGAAGTTCTGAAAGTGCAGGGAGGCAACAATTACAAGCTACCACACAATGCAAAGGATAGGATGCAGTCAGAAGGGATACTTCCAAAAACAATTGAGGTAGATGTTCAATTATTGGAAGCAACAGAACAGATTCTAGGGCAACAAACAGGGGATACTGAAAGTCAGGGGAACTTCATAATTGAAGAAGATGATGATGATCATCATCTTCAGTGATGAAGTACATGCTCAGACATAATAGGCCTTAATTTTTTTGTTTTTTGTACAGGCTTTATTTTTGCAGGACAGACAAACATTTATAATTAGTACTAACATGCTCAGACATTTTGTAATACATGCTGCATACTCAGACCTTTTGTAGAAGTACAAACATAGTCAGACATTTTGTAATAGTAGAAGCATAGTGATCTAGCAATGGTCATAATGATTTCATTATTTTGGGACAAAAACAGCACACTCAGACCTTATGAATAACTACAACATCAACATACACATCACACACAAGTACTGATCATGGTCATCATAGTGTGCATAAAGTATCACATCACAGGATCATGGTCATCAGTATGCTTAAACTACCAAAATACTTTCATATGCTCATCATAGTATGCATAAAATACCACATATGAGGGTCATGGTCATCACAGTATGCATTAACCACCCAAACACTATCATATGGTCATCATAGCATGCATAGAGTACCATATCACAGCCCAATGCTTTCATCATAACATACCACTCAGAATGAACCAATCATAGCAGTAAAGAACCAGTACACACAAGGTCTACTTTCATCACAGTATGCATAAAGAACCAGTACACACAAGGTCTACTTTCATCACAGTATGCATAAATAACCAGTACACACAAGGTCTACTTTCATCACAGTACCAGTACACACAAGGTATACTTTCATCACAGTATGCCTAACTACCATTTATAATATCAAACCACCATGTACAACCCACATGCATCACAATAAACTTAAAAAACAATTTTTCATCATTGCTTCCCCCAAATTACACACAATGGACATAGAGTACGAATTAAACCATAAATGAAGATAAGGTATAGAAGAAACTCCCCTAATCTGTGTCCACGTCCCACATCCTTGTTTCCCATTTTGGCAAAATTATTTTTAGGAACTCCTCCAGTCGGGGACTTCTCCGAATAGGATGCATGTCAATGTCTCTGCGTCTTTTAAGCCGATTTGGGTCCACCGTCTCCCCCACGACCTCTGCAGGCTTCTCGCTTACATTCTCGGGAAGCTCTTCTTCACTGTCCGGGATGATGAGGAGGGCATCCTCTGCCGGGGAGTTCTGAGCCATGCACCTCGGATGGAGTACTAATACAGGGTCATCTGTGTCCAACGTCACCGCTTCCTCCGGAAGAACAACCTCTTCACTGTCAGGGACGATGAAGTGTTCAATATTCTCCATACTCAAAGTATTAGGGTTTAGATCCAAAAAAATGTGAGAGAGGGGGAGGCGGAAGGGTAGATAGATTTACAGAGGGGGAGATGGAGGAAGTAAATGGGAGAGACGGTTGGAGTAATTGAGAGAGACGGATGCAGTGAAAGAGAAAGAGGAGGCGGTGAGAGTAAATGGGAGAGAGGGATGCTGGTGGGAGTAAATGAGAGAGAGGGATGCGAACGGGTAAAAGGGAAGGGGAGTGGGAAAGGTTTTTTTTTATTGGGGAGGGTAAAATAGGGTTTTTGGTATGGGTTGAATTCCTTTTTAGGAAAGTTGGAAGAATTAATTGGGACGACCCAAAAAGGAAAACTGGAAGAAATGATCGGGACGGAGGGAGTAGCAAATTAAATTCAAATGAATGGTCTCAATTAGGTTTCCCTAATATATATTATATGTTTAATATTTTAATGTGGACTTATACTTTATGTTGTTCACTTATTGTACTTTTAATCTTTCAAAATGTAAAATCTTAAAAAGTTTTTGATCTTTCACATTTAATTAGATGATGATAAAATTAGATGCACCCTAAGTTAGTTAGGTACTATACTAACTTGGGCACCGAAGGAATGAGAACTTTTGGAAGTACGCTGTTTGTAGATTATTTAGATTAATATTTAAATGTCGGGTCTGAGTATGGGAGGCTCCTGGGGTGAGAGATTCCACCTTTTGGACCAAGATTAATATTTAAAAATTAATTTAAGATAAAATGAAAGTATTGTACATTTGTACTCCGTACTTCTTTTAAAAAGTACTCACAGTGTGAGCCGGTTTCTGTTGTGAAAATCTGTGGATCCGCAGGGAAATATTGAGACATGGGACCACGTTGACCCACGCCACGACACGTGTACACATTTCACATTTTCCTCGGCCCTCATTCCAGCAAAGACACATTTTTACTCACTTCAGAGCAAGACTTCACGAGAAACGGCTATGGATTTTGTATTATTAGTATGGAATGGAATTAATTGCTTGCAGAAAAGAAGCGCAATCCAGTCAAGATTACAAGGATTTTGCTCATTTACTACTCAGCATTTCTTTATCCTGGTTTTCTCTTTTCTCTTCTGGGGTATTCAATTCTTGGGTTTTCAATCTCGACTGAGAGCTCTGCTTGCTCAAGTAGAGTGATGGCTTCTGCTTCTTCTGCATTAACGCCCACACAAATTGAATACATGGAGAACCTTAAACAGCTTACGGCTCAGCTATTAACGCCTCCTCCTGTCACTGACGACCTTCTATGCCTCCTTGAAGTGAGCCTGTGTTTTTTAACATTTAAAGATTGTTTTTTTAATTTCTTTATGCTTAAAGAAGTTGGTCTGATGCTGATGGGTTGTCTTCACCAGGAAAGTGATGCCTTGTTTCCTGATTTTGTGTGCACCTTAACAAGTGAAATGCCTAATTTTTGGGTTGTCATTCTGTTTATGGGATTGTTAGTAATGTTCTGCATGCTTCATACTGCATATCTTGGTTTTGACATGTATGAAGCGCACAAAAAAAGGACTTGATATTGAAATTAGATCTCAAAATGTAGTTGCTTGCCATAAGATTTTTTGGCATTTCCTTCTCCATTTGGTTTTAGCTGTAAATGGGACTAAAGGACCATACTCTTGCTTTGCCTGAGTATCATTGTTTTATGAGTAACCCTTGACTCTTTCTGTTGCATTGCTTTTTTAGAAAGTTGAAAGAGCATTGCTTAGAATGGTGTCGGGTCCTCACAAGTTGATCACAACTGAATTCAATGCTATCAAAGAAGCACTGGGTGATAGGAAGTTTCTGTTACATCCTAATAAATTCATTGAAACTTGTGTCACATCATGTATCGTCGAAGTTATGAGGGTAACAGCACCATCTCCGCCGTATGATAATGAGAAAATGAAGGTTGACCATGCATGTTTCAAATTATATCAGTGGTTTCTACTTTTTATTATTTATTTCTCGCCTGATTTTTTAAAAATCACGTTTCTTGGTTCTCAGATTGTTTTTCATCAAATTATAGCATCGGTTGAATCTTTACCTCATGTGCTTAGCGGCTACTATGGAAGGTGTACATCAATTCTTGCACGCATGGTAAAGATCAGGGGGTTTGTGGTTCTGTGGGATATTGACGATTGGTTAGCTCTAAACATATTCCAACTGCCCCTCAAAATCATCATGTATTGACACATCCATACTTCTCTTAACTGCTTGAGTACTTTTGTTGTCTAACATGGTCCATATTTAAGGAACTCTGTGATTACATTGAATTGACCTTTTTGTGTTTTGATCAAGGCCCTACCATCCCGAACGTGAAAAAGGAAACATGGAAGCAATCATGGTCCAAATGATAGAAGAATGTGACAAAATAACATTGGATATTCTTTTTCCCCTTTTTGAATGCCTCAGAAAGCAAACTCAGGCAATAAACCTTTTAAAGCTCGACTGCTTTGTTCAAAATACTATTTTTAATCATTTTATTATTAATTAAGTTATGTTCATTAACCAGATGGATGCACCTATGTCATCGTTGCTGGCACATCAAGTCTTGGAAAAGTGTGCTGCCAAACTAAACCCACATCTTTTAGAGGCAGTTAAGCTTTTGGGCATGAAAGTGGAGGGTTATACTGACCAATTTCTCACACTATGCCGTAAACTTGCTGAGGAAGAAAAAGTGGTATTCTTGTACTTGTTTTTTTTAATTTTTCATAAAACAATTTGTTTCTAACTTTGGCTCGTTCAACACATGCACCTGGATAGATGAGTGCTCGGTTGTTTTAGAAGCTATGCAGCTAGATGATAGGGATAGGGGTAGGACAAAGATTGCTATAATATATAGATGTTAGAAAAGATATGCTATTGTAAGGACCTGTCAGTGGAAAGACATGGACACCTTCTTCAATTTATGCCATCACTTGTTATGCAAAGTTGTTGGTAATGCAAAGGGTGCAGTAATATTCCATGTCGTTAGGATACTTGACCTTAAAGTTGGAGTTCAGCAACCTTGGTATGAGACAACCAGGTGATAATGCTGCACACAATGTCAGTCACCCTACTGTAAGTCACAGAAGATTCTTTGTTATTGTAAAACCCTGTTAGGTCAAATTCTTCTACTTGCCAGCAGTTTCTTTATCTTTTGACCAATGACTTACAGAGTGATAAAGTATACAACTATACTTATCAGGCGAGAAGTTTCTCCTATGCAAAGAACAACTCAGTAAACCTTAATCTAATTTAAGTTATCTTGACTTTACAATATGACCACACTAGTTGCATTGTTTTACATTACATGCAAATATGTGATTTCGTCCAATGACTGTCTTCTCAGTTAACTCTAATTTTCTGGTTTAAACTGTTGCCAAATGGGTTTAAGCCTGTATTTGCCTTTATTCCTCCAATTTATTCAACAGATTCACATGCATTTGTTATGTATAAGTATATATAAATAATTAAAGAAATTATATAAGTGTGTGTGTGTGTGTGGAGGGCAGTTCATATCAGGAGCTCCTGACCAGAACCGTTGTGCGAATCCGCAATTTGAGGTGGTTCCCGGTGGAATTTTCTTATGAAATTTTGTGAGAATGTTCTTCATGAAGTATACATTATGTCCATAAAATTCAATGAGGACGTCAGTTAAATAAATTATTGAAAAGAACTGCGCTTTTATATAGATAAACAGCGCAATGTTTTTCAATAATTTACTAACTAACTTTCCGTTTGAAATTTAAGCTGAAATTTTGTGGACGTAATCTACACTTCATGAAGAACATTCTCACAAGATTTCATCAAAAAATTCCACCAGGGACCACCTCAAACGGCGGATTCCGCACTGCAGTTCCGGTCAGGGGCTCCTGACAGGAACATGACTCTATATATGTGTGTGTGTGTATGCATCTGTGATATTTATGCTGTTATTTTTTTCTTTCTTTTATAAACTTATACAGTAATATTCAAACTTATAAATCTATAATCTAAAGTTTCATGATCAGGTGGAAAAAGTTGGTGCTTTATCTGCTATAGAAGGAACATCTGAAGTTCAACGACCTGATGCCACTCCTAGAGCAATGAATATTGACAACTTTAACCAGGAGTCTATTGGATCATCATTGAAGGCAAAGTGTAGCAATCAGGCTGAGCAGCTCGAAGATGCAGATATACCTGATCTTCACAACCATGAAAATACTAAAGATTTGCAACAAGTAGATCCGAGTGGACTGCCGGAGAAGATAGAACCCACTAAGGAACAAGATTGTTTGGGAATAAATGGAAGTGAAAACTGGGTTGAAGAACCTAATAATATTTACAAGAAGGAACATGAGAAGCAATTGGGTAGCTCTTCTGGGGATGCTACTTCAAAGGAGTCACCTTTGCCATCTGAAACTGAAAAGCATATGTCAGAGATGACAGAGAGAAATGGACCTTCCAAAGGAAAACAGGGAAAGGGTTTATTCAAGGATGATGAGGCAACTCCCAGTGTAGTTACAAAGAAGGAAGTACATGAAACAGTGGGTGAGGTGGAGAAGGCACCACCAGTTCAACCAAATGATCTCCAAAAGGTACTACTTCAGTGGTGCTTGCAGGTTTTGCTAGTCAGGGTAACATTGAACCTGTGACTCTATCCTTCAGCTTGCTAAGTAATTTGACTTATGTCTGCTCAACTGAACTCATCTTTTCCTTAAACCCTGCATCCAGTTTGTGTTTCCATTTCATTACTAACTTAGGAAGGAAACACTCTTCTATATGCTACTTGATTAACAATTATGTGCTATTGGTGGTGTTCTTTTTCTCTAATATATAGAGTAATAATCCAAAGTTTCATGATCAGGTGGAAAAGGGTGTTGTTGTATCTTCTATAGAAGGAGTATCTGATGTTCAACTACCTGATATAACTCCTGTGACGATCAGGCTGAGCAGCTAAAAGATGCTGATAAGCCAGCTGATCAAGTCCATGAAAATACTAAAGATTTGCAACAGCAAGTAGATCTGAGTCGATCGCCAGAGAAGATAGAACCTAGAAAGGAACAAGATTGTTTGGGAACAAATGGAAGTCAAGCGTGTATTGAAGAAGCCAATAGTAATAACAAGGAACATGAGAAGCAATCTGAGGGTGCTACTCCTGGGTCATATGTGTTTCAGTTTTGGGTGGCAAAGGTGACTCCCCTGGAGTAGCACCCTCAGATTGCTTCTCATGTTCCTTGTTATTATTATTGGCTTCTTCAATACACGCTTGACTTCCATTTGTTCCCAAACAATCCTGTTCCTTTCTAGGTTCTATCTTCTCTGGTGATCGACTCAGATCTACTTGCTGTTGCAAATCTTTAGTATTTTCATGGACTTGATCAGCTGGCTTATCAGCATCTTTTAGCTGCTTATCATCATTGACTACACTGGGAGTTGCCTCGTCATCATTGCATGAACCATCTGGAAGATCCATTTGTCTTTGCCATCTCTGTTTTTACTTGCCCCAACTTTCTTGTTCTTTTGGCCAATCAATCTACATTTGTAAGATGCTTAGTGTTATAACGCCAACAGTAGTGATACAAGTTTACCATAACACTTTTTTGGTGTTTCTATCTTAAAGAATAACCTCATAAACTTTAATCTAATCTAATTTATTTTTAGCTTAACAACCTGACCACACTTGTTCTATTTTTCTTTTTTATGCAATTTTGGATTTTGTCCATTGATGTCTTCGTAGTTAGCTTTAATTTCTCATTTTAACTGTTTCTGTAACCCTGTAAGTGTTTGAGTCTGTTATATCCATGCATCAGATAGTTTATCTCAGATGCACCTGTTGGATCACCATTTCAGATGCCTTTAACACTGAAAGGAAAACATTCTTTTTAACACTCAGTGCCTCTATTGGATGCTATATGTGCTAATTATAGTTGATCACATTTTAAAGGAGTAGGTAAGGATGCCCTCAATTTTTCTTTGGAGCATTTGATTAGGAAGGAAGCACTCTTCTATATACTACTTGATTAACAATCATGTGCTATTTGTGGTGTTCTTTTTCTCTAATATATATAGTAATAATCCAAAGTTTCATGATCAGGTGGGAAAAGGTGTTGCTCTATCTTCTATAGAAGGAATATCTGATGCTCAACTACCTGATATCACTCCTGTAGCGATGAATATTGGCAGCAGTAATCAGGAACCTGTTGGATCACCATTGAAGGCAGAGTGTGGTGATCAGGCTGAGCAGCTAAAAGATGCTGATGAAGTAGTCAGTGAGGTGGATCTTCCACCTTTGCCACCCAAAACTGAAACACATATGTCAGAGATGGCAGAGAGAAATGGATCTTCCAATGGAAGACAGGGCAATGGTCCATGCAATGATGACGAGGTAACTCCCGGTGTAGTTAACACAAAGAAGGAAGTCGATGAAGTAGTCAGTGAGGTGCAGAAGCAACCTGTTCAAAAAAATGATCTCCAAAATGCAAACACTAGAACCAAGCGCAAGAGGAAGCAAGCTTTGAACAAAGAAAAGGTACTGCTGTAATGGTGCTTGCAGGTTTTGCTGGTCAGGGTAGCCTTGAACCTGTGATTTTATCCTTCAGCTTGCTAAGTAATTTGACTTATGTCTGCTCAATTGAACTCATCTTTGCATTAAGTCCTGCACCCAGTTTGTGTTTGCATTTCATTATTTAAGTGCATGACAACATTAACTTGCCGTGGACAAATTGAACTACCCTGTCTTTTTGTTTGGTTTTCCAGTCAAGATATTGTATAAGTAAATACTATCCTCAGTGACATGATAAAAAAATGAGTGTATGTGTGTATGATACACAGACATGTATACATATGCACATACATATACTAAGGAGGACCTTTTTGTTAGCATATAATGTGTCCCCTAAACATGACATATCACTATTTAAGAACATGTCACTATTTAATGGGGTGGTGCTTGGTAAGGAGGTTTAGGGATGGGAATAGGAATGGTAGGTCTATGCTGGTAGTTTCAATATAGGTTTTGTTCCCAACTTTTGTTCCCTTACAAATGGGAGGTATGAAACCTATTATCTCTATCAAACATTGCTGTGCTCATTTCATTTTTTAATACTTCGTGCAATTCTTTCTTGAACTTTAGAAGATTTTTACAGAACAACATAAGATGGGCACATCAACACATGTACCTAAGTTGAATGAGTGATGGGTAGTTTCATAATGTAGATGAAAGGGGCAGACCAACACTTCCTATTAATTGTAGTTGTTAAGAAATATATGCTTTTGCAAGGAGTTAGCTACTTTAGTTTCCGGTAGATAGACATGGGATCATCTTGATTTTGTTCCATCACATGTTATGCAGAGTTGTCGGTAATGCAAAGGGTGTACTCATGTTTCATATACTCCCTCCGTCCCAATTTGTAAGATACTTTACGGTTTACGATGTTTGACCGACGATAAAGCAAATTCATCCCTGTCAACACTCAAATTAGTTTTAGAAAATAAAATCTACATATTCAGAAACTACATTAAAACCGCTACAAAACCTGCAAAAAGTAATTCAAATTTCATAAACCTTTGATATATAAAGTAAAAGATTGAGTGATTTATGTTGACCAAGTGAATAGTAAATGTATCTTACAATTTGGGACTGAGGGAGTAATTAGTATAGAGACAACAAGGTTATCACCATCCTGTTTAGCAGAATGGTCAAGTGATCCTGCTCACCGCATGTACTCTACTGTAGGTCACATAAGAGTCATTTGTTGCACAAGGAGGTCCTTTGTTGTCACCGAAAGCTAAGTCAGCTAGCTATATTATTTCCACCTTGTGGTCTGTTACAAGGATTCCACCCTAAAAGCACTCTAGAATAGACTAGTCTTCTGTAAATCTATAATTAGCCTACTCATTCTATGTTCTAGCCCTTTCTGTATACAGCATTGTTGAGATTAATCCTCTTGCATTAGCTAAAGATTAACCCTTGTGATGCTTTCAGTCTACTCTTATTACCTTTAGTTACTTCAATAAATGGTCTTAAATACTTTATTATGTTTTTATTTTTGAGTACACATAAGAACACAGCAGTTGTGTAACCTTGGGGAATGTCACCACAGGTTTGGTTTTTATTTTTACCAACATTAGTGGTACAAGTATATAACTGCACTTTTTAGGCGAGAAAATTCAACTTCTATGCAAAAGAACAACTTGATAAATTTTAAGTGTTCTAATTTTTCTTAAAATTTTACAATGTGACCACTCAAGATTCTATGCAATTTCGTGATTTTGTCCACACTGTCTTATTAGTTAATTATAGTTTCACATTTAAACTGTTGCCAAAAGGCTTTGAGCCTGCGATGTGCGTGCATCTTAATAATTCTTTTGCCTTTTTATTTTACCAATTTTAATAAAAGATTCACACGCATTTGCAATAATTTTCTTTTTGCAGAAGTATTTATGAATTTAACCTTTAAAAGTTACACACTTACACAGTATGACTTAGTGTCTCTATCAGAGGCTGTATGTACTAATTATGGTTAATCACCTTTGAAAAGATTATTAAAGATACTCTCTACTTTTTTGTTTGAAGTATTTGGTTGGGAAGAAGCACTCTCTCTTTATACTACTTGGTTAATAATCTTGTGTTACTGGTGGTGATGTTTTTCTTTTTTTTTCTCTAATATATACAGTAATAATCTAAAGTTTCATGATCAGGTCAAGAAAGGTGGTGCTGTTTCTGCTAAAGAAGAAACATCTGATGTTCAGCTACTTAATGTCACTCCTAAATCAATGATTATTGACAACATTAACCAGGATCCTATTGGACCACCATTGAAGGCAGAGTGTGGCAGTCGGACTGAGCAGCTAAAAGGTGCCGATAAGCCTGCTGAAGTCCATGAAAATACTAACGATTTGCAACAGCAAGTTTATCCTAGTAGACTGCCAAAGAAGAGAGAACCCACTAAGGAACATGATCGTTTGGGTATGAGTGGAAGTGAAAACTATGTTGAAGAACCTCAGAATAATAATTATAAAAACAAGAAAGAACATGAGAAGAGATCTGAGGATGCTACTTCAAAGGAGTCACCTTTGCCTTCCGAAACTAAGAAGCATACTCACAGAAGGGCCCAACCAAATAAGAAAAAGTCAGAGATGACAGTGAGAAGTGGATCTAAAGGGGCTAGGTCTTCCAAAGGAAAACAGGGCAAGGGTTCATGCAAGGATGATGAGGTAACTCTATATGCACTTAATTTATAGAAAGAACAAAAAGTGGTATTCCTGTGCAGTTGTGCTCGTTTCTTTAAATTTTTCATAACACATGATTTTTTAATAAATTTGGTACTTTCTGCATCTTTTCCCTTTTCAAGAGTTTTTTAAATTAAGTTAATATGGTATACTTTTATAAAACAACACGGACTTCACATCGTCTAGTTCTTTCTTAGTTTTTTAAAGAATTTTACAGAACAAAAAAAGATTGGAACGTTCAACACATGTACTGAAGAACTTGGGAGATAACCCTGAGATAAATGTTATTACATCCATTTATGCCAACCACTCCTCTTGAACTTTGACATCTGGAGTGACAAGGAAAAGAGCACGTCGCTCCTCTGTTAATTTGGACAGCCTTGTATAATATTCAGTAAGGTCTGATTCACCCTGCTTAAATCTGAAATAAGACTTAAACATAGAGTACATGTGGTATAGAGATTCTTTTCCTGAGAAGGACTGCAAGTGTTCTCGCATCTTCTTTGAGCAATACTCAAAACTTGAGGTTCCATAGCATTCCACAAAGCCATTCTAATTCCACTATTATCAAGCTTCCATGTTTTAGGGTTTGGAGGACCCTGGTTCAGATATGCATCTTGATCCAAGCTTTTAAAGCCAGTTTGAACAAACATACTCCATTGTGCCCAATTAGTTGAGTTTAGTTTAACCGGTATTTTCAGAGTAGCAGAATGATTAATAGTTCTAGGGATTATAGCATCATTTGGTTTTGCACCATCTCCCATTTAAGAAAAAAATAAGAGAAGGTTCTGAGCAGAAGGAAGCTAGGTATCTGTTTTGGCAGGAGCTGGATTGTTGGCGGTGGTCTGTGGCGAGTTTCGCGAAGAGCGGAAACCCTAAACAGATTCTTCAACCACGGACTGAGGCCTTCAATTTACTTGATCTGTATAGTAAATAAACAATAGGGATGGCCGTGTACAGAATGGGAGTCGGCTAAATGCTAATCTAGGGTTTCACGGATGACAATATTTCTGATGGGCTTAATCAGGGTTGTATCTTGAACATTGGCTCTGATACCATGTTATTAGAGAAGAATGTATGAAATGTTTTCTGTGTCTTATATTGAACAAAGAACATCGAGTATATAAGAGTATCATAGCTAAACTAGGAAAGTGTATAATCTTTACTAATAAACTAGAATCTCTTTTATTTAAGCACATATGTAGCATATATACAGCTGTAAAGCATCTCTAACAGAGACTACAAACGTATGTGGTCACATGGATAATGCGCATTTATTTATTAGGAATTGGTTTTGAGAAGGTCATGACAACTAACAGTAGGTGATTCAATTGAAAGTTTGTCAAAAGTGGTGACCGATCTTAGAAGTAGTAGTGTACCTTGGAGATTGTCTCCACATATTCAGTTATTACTTGCTGCAACTTTCTTTTTCTTTTGACCAATTAACCTATAAACCTATATTTGTAAGATGTCTAGGGTCATAACACCAACAATAGTAACACAAGTTTACTTTAACACTTTTTAGGTGAGAAATTTCTAAGCTAAAGAACAGCCTAATAAACTGTAGTCTGATCTAATTTATCTTTAGCTGAACAACTTGACCACACTAGTTCTATCATTCTTGATTGCATGCAATTTTGTGATTTTGTCCATTGACTGTCTTCATAGTTACCTTACCCCACCGTAGGTGGGAGCCTTTGCGGCACTGGGGTAAATGAAAATGACTGTCTTCATAGTTAACTTTAATTTCAAAATTAAACTTTCTGCAGGAGTTTGAGCCTGTGATATGCATGCATCATATAATTTATTTGTCTTTCTATTCTGTCAATTTATATAACGTATTCACATGTATTTGCAATACATTTTTGCGGAGGTATTATTGCCTCAGCGTTAAAAGGCCATACTACTTTTTTACACCATTGACCCATTCTGAACTGGAGGCTATATGTGCTAATAAGCTAATTATAGTTGATCAATTTAAAAGGAGTAGCTTGCGATGCTCTCTACTTTTTTCTTTGAAGTATTTGGTTGGGAAGGAAGAACTCTTCAATATACTACTTGATTAACAATCATTTTCTATTGGTGGTGTTGTGTTTCTCTTTCTCTCTCTAATATATACCGTAATAATCTAAAGTTTCATATTCAGTTGGAAAAAGGTGGTGCCATATCTGCTATAGAAGGAATGTCAGAGAAAATAGAACCTAAAAAGGAACAAGATTGTTTGGGAATGAATGAAAGTGAAAAGTGTGTTAAAGATAGCGAAAATAATAACAAGGAGCATGAGAAGCAATCTCAGGATGCTACTTCAGGGAAGTCACCTTTGCCACCCAAAATTGAAAAGCACAAGTCAGTGATGACAGAGAGAAATGGATCTAAAGGTGCACGATCTTTCAAAGGAAAACTGGGCAAGAGTCCATGCAAGGATAATGAGGCAACTTCCGGTGTAGTTAAAATAAAGGAAGGAGAAGAAGAAAAAGAAGGAGGAATCAGTGACTTAGAGAAGCCACATGCTCAAAAAAATGAACTCCAAAATACAAGCACAAGAACCAAGCGCAAGAGGAAGGAAGTTTTGAACAAAGAAAAGGTACTACTTAATGGTACATGCAGGTTTTGCTGGTGATGGTAACATTGATCAAGTGATTCTATCTCTTCATTTTATAAGTACTTCAACATAAGTGTGCTCAACTAAACTCATCTTTGCCTAAAACCCTGTAGCACTTTTGTGTTTGCATTTCTTTACAACATTAACTTGGAGTGAACGATTGAACTACCCTATCCTTTTTGTTTTTTATGCAGTCTAAGTATAAGCTTTGGTAGTTTGGTCTGTCTCTTTCTCTTCTATCTCTAATTAATACTATATTAGGGAAGATATCATATTAGTAGTAACCAGTATCCCCCATCGACATGCCTAAAAGCAATAAATGTTTATGGGGGTGTTGTGTTTGAGCAGGACATTTTTGTTAGCATATAGTGTGCCACCTAAGCATGCCATGTTAGTTTTTGAAGGAGGAAAGTTTCTAGAGCATAGAGCGCCTTGCTAGAACATGACATGTCACTATTTAAGGGGGTGCTTGGTGGGAAGGATTGGGAATGAGGAATGGTTGTTTATGCTTGATAATGTTGCACTATGGGTTTCATTCCCAACTTTTAGTTATTGAGCCGTACCCCTCCCAAATGGCAGGTACCCATTACCTCTCTATCAAACCTATTCTCATTCCCAAATGTACCAACTATAAGTTTGGGAAAATAGAATATAGGTGTTTTTAATTTATTAGCTATATTCATAACGTTGAATGATAAATGAACTACTACTTTTAGTGATATGACTTTAAATATGTAGGGTTTAGGAATTAATCTTCCTTGATTATACTGAGCCATACAGCCAAAATATAAAATATATATACAGAGTACAATAAACAAACTCCCTGTGCAGATCCTAAAAATAGGATCTATCTAACTACAATACTTATCTACTAATTAATGAAGTCTAACAACTCTACAATCTTATCTACACAGCTACACACGTACACTATCTAATAATAAATAATAAATGTAACATTTTCTACAAAATCTTACAAGTTGATATAAATAATACCTGACCATGGTGTTAAAATAACTTTTTATAAAAAGTTTGTGGTATTTAAATTACATATGAAAGTTTGGGGTGTTTAACTCACTCCCCTTCAAAGTTTGGGGTATTTTAATTATTTTTCCTTTTCTTTCTAGATACTATTACAAAGCTTATATAAAGAATTAATGGACCCAAGTCCAGTAGGAATAGGAAACCTAAACCTAAACAAATAAGGAAATCTAAACCTAAAATCCAATAGGAATAGGAAACTATATAATACCTCTAAAACTAGGATAAATGAATTACTATTTCTAATTTTGCACCCCCTCGAGCTGGAGCATCAAATGCTTCAAGCTTGTTAGAGAAACCTTAACCTCTAAACAAACTTGAACTGCTAATTATTCTTGAACTGAACTGGTGCCTGCTTGACCATCTGCACTTGAACTTGAACTTCTGAACTGGAGAGGAGCCAACTTAAGTATCTAAACTTGAACTTCAACTTAATTCTAATTTAACATTAAATTAACTGGATCCATTACCGACTTCAACTTTCATCTTCTGCTTCTTCTCCCTTCTCTCTCCCCATCTTCTTCTTGAAGTGATGCTCATTAAAAATTTGAGGTAATATCCAACACTCAACCCTAGTGGCGTGGGCGGTTTCAACAACAATAGATTTTTTGGTGTAGGTTAGAGGTTGATTTTGTGAAACAATTACCAGAATTGCTTCGAATCTGAAGAGACCACAAACAATAAATTTTTACTTTTGTTAATATTTATCAATTGATAATAGCTACAAACTATCAAAATGCACATGTTGAGAAATAATAGACCTAAACCCGGTAGGAGTAAGAAACCTAAACCTAAAGAGAATTGAGAAACCTAAACCTTAAACCTAATAATAATAGAAAACCCTGATATCACTAAAACTATGATGATATTATATATGATCTATAACTATTTAACAAAACAGAACTTCAGTCATTTGAGTCATTTTGCGTAGAAATGCCATGCACTATACACAAAAATCGAAATTAAATTTTGATTCCGCACATCACCTATCACTCGTGCATCACATTATATTTAGTACTGGTACATAAATATATATAAAAAATAGTACTTCCTCCGTCCCGCTAAGATTGTCCCATTTTACCTTTTCGGGAAATCCCACTAAGATTGTCCCATACCAAATTTGGTAAAATTTGTTTGGCTCTAAATCTTTTTTACTTTATTCTTACATATCAATTCAATACGACCACATAAACTCACTTTTCTTAATAATCGTGCCACCCCCTCTTGTCCCAATGTTATTGCCTTTTCGACCAGTGCTTCCTTAGTGATGTTTTAAACTTTTGAGTTGTCAATTAATAAGGGAAGTAGCATATGTTATGTAGCTTATCTCTTTTGTCAATATTGTTGAATATAGCAACTTTAAGGATAGTCAATGGTAATGATGTTATGGGAGAGTGTTTGATGCATTTGATCTTTCGATAGGAGATTCCAAGTAAAGCTCCTCATCTAATCCAAATTCATGTGCAGTATAATTGACAAACTGAATTTTTAAAGTGTGGTTTTTTTCTATAAAATAAATTCTCTGTGCAAGAAGCATTTAGCAACAGTGGTTGTCTAGACTCTCAGCAACAGCGGTTGTCTTAGACTCCTAGTCAAAATTCTAAGATTTTGTTTTACAGATGTTCTATGGTGCCAGTTTTTGACAGTGAAAATTAGGGCATACTAAACATTACTCTTCATTTAAAACTCATTATGAGTGCGCAACTGACCTCTTGGAAGTTCTATAGAAAATAAGTTCTTTATAGAAGTTGCATTTAAGATGAGACTTCTATTTACTTTCTATTTACGGATGTTATATTTTAGTAGGATTCCACTATTAAACAATGTTGTTTTACTTAAATTTATTGTTCATCTAAAACTGATTTGGAATCTCCAATGGGCTTGTTTTGGACATTTTTGAAAATAAAAATTGTTTCCTTCAAGTCGCATTTAGTAAATATGGGCAGTTCTCTGTCACATTTCTATGGCGAGACTTCCATTAACTTCCTTCTTAGAAATGCTATATTGTATTTCACTATTGAACTTTGTTGCATGATGGATTTTAAATTGTTAGTAAGCTTCCTCTCAGCATTGAATTTGTACAAATATTTTAAAAGGATGATGTCTTATCCTATTTTCTCTTTTCCTGAAAAATATGTCATTACTATTGTCAGACAATATAATAAGATGTGTGCTTATGGTTTTTATTCATATTCAGGATTCTAGAAACCACCCTATTGGTAAGGATTATGGAGAAGAGTTGATTGGTGCTATAATAAGAGTTTGGTGGCCCGTTGACCGAATGTAAGGACTTAACTACTTAAGATGGATAAATGTTAAGAAGTCTGGTTGAGATATAGGTTGAAATGAGTGAAATAGTATCAACCACACATTCCTTTCCTGAAAAAGAAATATGCGAGATTATTTTGGGACGGTTAGAAAATGCAACCAACAGGATTGTTTCAGGATGGAGGGATGATGTATTTTTATAAGCTAAGATGAGCTTATCAAATTGTCTTGTATATTTTGCAACAAATTGATTTCATATGTTCTAACCTTTTGCCCGTTCAGGTTTTATAAGGGAACAATTTCTTCTTTTGACCCTGAGACGAAGAAACACAAGGTAAATCCCCAGCATGCTAATATTTTGGTGTAATATAATAATTCCCTATATTACACTCTGAATGTCCTACTCCCTTCATTGCATGCAAGATGAAAGGCAATTGTTTTAGGGGGCTTTTATTTAGGGTAAAGTTGTTCTATATAACCAGCTCCTAAGGCTAATCACTAACAACATCACATTTCACCTGTTTCTTTTCAACCTTCAACCCGCCCTGACTTGTAACAAGTTTCTCACATTTAATTTATTTCAATAAATAAATATATTTATTTAGAGAACATAAGCCAAATATCCAACTACATGTAGAGAATTATGAAAGTGTAGTAGGCTTCTTATTTAATACTTGGTGAGTACAAGCAACTTTCAGAGTTGAGTGCAAGAGTGTGGAGAATGTGAATGGTGAAAGCCTTTGGCTGTGGGATGTCAGAAGGTGATGGGTGTGATTAGGATGTGGAACTGTGTTGGTTTATCGATCTTATTTTTAGCCAGAGTGATCATTGGATACAAATTGAGAGGCTGGGCATTTGGTTATGAGCCTTAGTGATATTGGATCGTAAAGTCGCTTCATCATCTGTAAGTTTTGACATCTAATTTCATTATAATAGAAAGAAAGTACTTAAAAATTTACAACACAATCTGCGACTTCTTAATATAAAGAAACAAAGTGCATTTGATCAATTGTTGTGTAACAGAAAAATACTGTTGCCTAGATAATCAACGATAAAAATACCGTTGCCCAGAGCCAAAAGGCTAAAACCAATTTTATTCCAAGCTGAGCCAGAATGAATCCTAACAGGGGGTTTAAATACCCATCTACTAATTCCCCAAACTAGGAAACAAAATCCTAGAAATCCTAATCAACTCCAACTAGGAAATAGAATAAAAAAAGATCCTAATCAACTTCAAATAGGAAACAAATAATAGAAATCCTAATTAACTCCTAATAGGAAACAAATATTAGAAATCCTAATTAATTCCAAATAGGAAACAAATCAGGAAAATTAAAAAGATAAATATTAATTAAGCAGCCTGCAACCAACCCACGAAGGTGGGCTCAAGTAGGGTTGTAAACGAATCGAATCGAATCGAATAGTGAGTAATATTATTCGTATTCGTATAAATTGACGAATATTCGTATTCGTATTCGAATATTATTCGAATCTTACAATCGATTCGTATTCGATTCGTTTATTGTATTTGAGTATATTCGTATTCGAATATTCGAATTCGAATTCGAATATTCGAATTCCAATTCAAATATTTGAAGTTTCAAAAAAAATCACCTATTCAAATTATGACTCATTTTAGGCATTTTTCGATTTTCACAAATGTCTATTATATGAATTATTTCAAAATTATAAATATAATAGAATATATATTTATAATTCGTAAGTATACAAATCGAATATATTCGAATAACTTACGAATCGAATATATGTATATTCGTATTCGTATTCGAATTTTATTCGAATAATAAAATTGATTCGTATTCGAATATTTCGAATTCGAATCATCAATTTCGAATTCGAATCGCGAATCGGATCAAAATTATTCGATTCGTTTACAACCCTAGGCTCAAGCCCATTCCCGCCTTCAATAAACCCACAGGGGCTTCTGCCCCTCTTCTTCCAAGTCCAGATTTTGCTTCATATCATCAATGTTTCCATGAGGGTTTCACATGAATAATGCAGCAGATCAATTTTCCATTTAAGGCTTTCCTTCAATAGTAAGAGTCGAATCCTTCATAGCCAGTGGAGGTTTTCCATGTATGTATGTGTTGGGTTAATGATAATAGAGAAGACGGTTGAAATAATAGAGAAGATTCTCCTTCAACAGTACATGGAACCCATTGAAGTATTATGCTATCCCACACGGCCGAGTATAAAAATGGAAACTAATATATGAAACATTGGGCTACTTCTTCTATTAGGTTGACCTTTTAGGATGAAACTCCGGCTCTTAATATGATATCAAAGACGATTAAGCTCCAACAAGTCATTAGATTTTGATAAGCTTCAACAATGAGCTCACGGACTACAAGATTGGTGTGCTTTAACGAGCCACCATCTTGCAGAAACGTATTAAGCTATCCCACACCAATCGAGTATGAAGATAGAAACTAACATATAATGCTTGAGCCTGAGGATGTTTTTTTATCTAGATTAATACTCCGCATTTATTTTTGTATCTTTATATTTGGCCGTGGGGTGACTTAACCGTTTTTACTAGAGGGCATATGGGTGGTGTCCCAATATTTATGAAACAATATCAAGCAGCTATAATGTATAATGTATGCCGGCTTCGTACGATATCTTTCTTTGATTTTCATTTAATTCCTGCTACTGCTGCAGATCAAATACATTGACAACGATGTTGAAACCTTGAACCTCAACCTTGAACGCTGGGAAATGCTTGAAGAGGCCTCAGTCAAGGAAGTGAGTTTTCTTTTCTTAGAATCTCACATCGGAAATTAAAGGGAGTCTCATGGGTTAATAAGATCTTAAGCTAAACTAGCTAATAGATTGAATTCAATCTTTTTGTGTGGTCTTACACTTCGATCTAAGAAGGGTCTTATGGCTTGATTGGGTGATAAAAATGAATCATGTCATATTGTCATGGTATCGGAGCTAATGTTAGGTTACTTGGTGATTGTCTCTCTAGAAATCTATTTCAAGCTCCCCTTAGTCTTTAGCTTTCTCTGTTCTGAAGTGCAGCTCCAGGGGCATATATTCCATTTGACCACCTTGGATTAAAAACTTTCTTGGTTATTAATCCAATTGACAAACTATGTACAGATTTACTGATTAGTTCATATCTCTTGCAGGAACATGTATTTGATTCACCTTCTTTGGTATCTACTGCGTAAGTTTTTAATAGTCCAGTTCTTCCCCAGAATACACACACACACACACACATGCTCGCGCACAAAGCATCATCAGATTCACGGAAAAGGTTTCTGAAGCGTGAGCTGCTCGCCGTTTTATGATCCTAATTGTTTTATGACGTTGACTGGTAATTTCGATTAGGGCGGGGGAAAAGGCAAAAAAGGGCACCTCAAAGAAAAAAGAATCTGCTGCCTCATCTTCAAAAGGTTTGTTTTTACTATAATACGGTTTTACAATATGAGATGAAATATGTTTATTAAGCACCAAGAGTGATGTGTTTAGGGCTTCGAAGAAAGTAGGCACAAGCAGTGGCAGCAAGCTTGGGAAAACTATCAAGTCAGGCAAAGCTCTATCCAAGGATACTGAGAAAACTAATTCATGAATCAAAGAAGGGGCTGAAGAAGTAACATTAGATGAATGTGAAACGACCCGCATGGTTAAAAAATCTACAGCTGATCCTTGACCTTGCAGCCAGTCAGTACAAGTAGTTTGTTTGTATCCATTTTCTTTGAGCATAACTTATGATGCATGGGTTTCGTTTGCGGGATATTTGCCAACATAACAATGATGATATGAATAATGCCAGACGTCACATTAGACTCATTTATTTTTTCTTTATACATTATATCCTTTTTTACCTTAACAAGGTAACTTTTAATTTGACACAATATCCTACATAATGGCTTATGTAGGAATATAAACAGTCTTGGTTCACAATATAATCAGGATCGGAAGTAATTTGCCCCGTAACCAATCCGAATTCTGTAGTCTTGTCTGGCAATCAGCTATTTTTCATGTTAGCGGTTTGGATTAGTTCTTTGACGTTACCTGTTTGACCTTTATTATATGTTAGCTATTTATGCAAAAATGTTTTATTAGCTCTTTGAATGTATAAATGAGAGGTTCAAAAAGTTTTTTCAGAACTGATGACTTAAGTTGCTTTAGGTCATTTTTTAGGCTTCTTTTACCTAACATTTCGAGTAATTATAAATGCAAGGCCAAATGCTCACCTAAAAGCCATTTATTACGCAACAGAGCCATATGTTGGGTTTTTGGTAAGTGGTAACTACTCTGTCTCAAAATAAGGTTCTGGGTTTGATCTAACATACGGTACTTATTATGGATATGAAATTGTGTAGTCAAAATTTAGAGAATGGCTACACACACACACACACATTAAAATAAAAAATTGTTTTTATTTTAAATAAAGATTTGTTTTTGCTTTAACAAGATGCAACTTATAGTAATGTAAGAAACGTGTTCCTATAAAGATTGGCATGCAAATTATAACATGTCGGTTATTGGTATTTTATCTAATCAATAACAACACAATAGTGCAAGACAATATATTTTACATTGCATATAAATGGATAATTGTTGAGACATGAATCGTAAACGCTAATGTGCTTTTTACCTTTATAAAATATTAATTTTTATATGTGCAGACTTGCTAGGTTTACTGTTTCATAACATATCATAAATTTGAACTCTGATATACTTGTAACTCTATTTTCCATCATTTCCAATAAAGCCAAAGACTCGCTCTTTTTTGGTTTGGGAGTATGATGGAATAAAGTAAAATGGCTCACTAAACTGTTTGCGCTTCTTTGTTATGAAGCAGCAGTCAGTCCATGCAATTTTCGATGCGATTTTCACTATGGGTCATCCGGAAACAGACTCTCAGGGGTAAGGCTGCGTACATTTGACTTCCCCTTCACTCCACTGTAGGTGGGAGTCATTGCGACACTGGAGTACTAATGATGATGATAGACTTGTAATTCTAGATATCGTTATATACACTTGTCCATGGATGGACAATGAGTGATGCAATAAGGATGTTTTTATTTAGATTGTAATTTGTTGGTCTGATCTGGTTTGATCTGTTAAACGTCTGGTCTCTGTGTATTTTATAACTACGGAGTCAAGTATGGTCTACTCTGGTCTGGTTAAGTCTGATCTGGTCTAGTCTGCTCTGCTCTTGTTTGTTTAAGTCTGATCTGGTATGGGACCGAAAACGGTCCAAGTAAAAACATATTAAGATGCCTACTTTTTAAAGTGATTTGTATTGTCATAATCAACTAACTATCAATGGCAGGTCTTAATTAATGTCATTCTAGCATCAAGTGGTAGAAGTGTTTGTCTTTATCCCAGAAAACATCTGGCCTCAAGAGTTTAATCTTTGAACATAGACACGAAAACTCATGCATATAAATGATGACACAATTGCATTAAATTAATAAGGCAACGTAAATTCATTTAAATTTGAACATTACAATGCATTTATGCATGCTCTGTCTAGTTATATAACATCCTTAAAATTAGTTCGTTGTAAATTGGTAAATAGATATAAGAATGGAATAAGATAAAAAAGAAGAGGTTTTCGTTGTGGGGATTGGGGACTCATAAACCTAAGGGTTGAATTAAATACAATCGCGCATGCAGGCATATCCATACGACATATTGGGAAGTTGAGATGTAATGAAATAAGGTAAATCATTGAATAAGATAATGCATCTTTTACTTTGTTCCAAAAGGTGGAATCTTCCACCCCAGGAGCCCCCCACCCCGATCCGACAGGATGGTGGGGAGGTTAGTCACGGTGACTCAGTCAGCAGAATGGCAGTAGGCCCATACACCCGTGCGCACCAGAGACCCAACCTTATTTCAAGTTCTGTGACCTCCACCCGGTCGCTGTGGGGATTCGAACTTTGATACATTGTTCCAAATCTCCCACCACTCGACCAACTTAGCTACCCGTGCGGGTATAATGCATCTTTTACTCTTCCTACAAACGTGGTTTATAACTCAATTAATATTTCAAGAAAGTTTGCATGCGCAAATTATACCGTACACCCAGATGTACGGCCCTCACCGTACATCCGAGTATTTTTGCAATTAATTACAAATCTGGTGGTAAAGATTAGGGATGGAGAAGGCTGCTCGACGCTCGCTGATGTCTTGGGAATCAATGGAGGAGGCGCTAATGACTTCTGTGCTCGCTTGCTGAATTCCCGGGGTTGGTGAAGGAGGTGCCGCTCCTGGGAGTTGGATGAAGGAGAATCGTGCACGTTGTGGGCCTTGTGGCTTAAGTTCTCAAATTCTAGGATGATCAATTTCAACTTTGTATTTTAATATTATACGAGTCTTTTTTAATATTGTGTTAATATTTTTCAAAATATTTCGGTGCTCATTCCATAATTTATGTGTGCTCATTTGAAATTGGTGTAATACTCATTTTAAAATTACATATTCATGCATCTTTCAAACATACTATACTACATTAGATTCACATTAAAAATGAGTTTTATGTTAAATTCAAATGTGTATAACGTCCAAAATGAATGAGCACACAAAAATGCATTTTTAAATTTTTTGATACTCATTTCGTAAGTTATGTATGCTCATTTGGTAGTAATGGTATGCTCATTTTAAAATGCCATATCAATAATGCATATTTTAAAATTATTATACTACATTAAATTCGCATATTGTTTTTAATTGAAATCGATTATAGACATAATTTCATAAATCTTTTTCAAACGAATAAAATAATTACATTAGAAGATTTGAAGCAGATTTCACGATACTCATTTTTAGTCTCCTATTACTCAAAAGAATAGGCATGATGCTCACCAAACTTGCATTAATGCTCATTCCAAACAAATCACGATTTTCATCAAAATTACAAAATTGCTCCCGGATGTACGGTGCAAGCCGACATCAGGATGTATGGTATACGAGCTGACTTGCGTGCTAATAAATTACGTACGGAGTATCTTTTAGCTTTTGAGTAAAATACTAAATTACGTCATTCAGTGGCGCTTACGATAATCATCTCCTCTTCAAAAACACCCAAACAAATTTTAAGCCAAGAAGCTAGCACCTGTACAGAATCTCTTAGCCTCCCAGCCTCCCTCCCCCGTAAAAAAAATCTAAAATATAAATGATACTTCGTCCCATAAAATTCTTCCCAGTTTGACTTGTATCGGAGTTTAAGAAACTTAGAATAAAATGAAAATGTATGGTTGTGGTTGAGTAAGAAAAAAGTAAATGAATGGTAGCCATACAAATCTTTCTAAAAAGAGAAATGAGAATAATTTTTTGACACATCCCAAAATGGTAAGTGAGAATATTTTTTTGGGACGGAGGTAGTACATTTTAAGACGTAGGAAATAGGAAAAAATTATGAAAGGAGTATTTCTCCCATCCCAATATTATATTCATTCTTTCCTTTTTTGTCAATCTCAGTATAACTATTTTTTCAATTTTTGGCAATAATATGTAGTTTTCGCTAATTTCCCCTATTTTCACTCTCCTATACGCAACTTTAATCCACATGTTTTCCACAAAATCAAAAGAAAAATGTTTGGTGTACACATTTTATTGTACACCTTTCGTACACTCGTTAGTCTCACCCACACAGAATTGTCTGTCCACATACAACTCTACATAATTGTCTATGGACAGATAATTCTGTGTGCGTGAGACAGACGAATGTACGAAAGGTGTACACCAAAATGTGTACACCTAGCACAGCTCAAAGCAAAATAGGAGAATATTTGGATAAGTGGAGTAGGGTTTTGCTAGATGCATACATTTTTGTGTACACTTTTTTATATTCGTCTGTCTCACACATACAAAATTGTCTGTCCATAGACAACTTTACAGAGGGACAAATAGTTCTATCTGCGTGAGACTCACGAATGTACAAAAAATGTACACAAAAATGTGTACATGAAACATTTTTTCGTTTTCGGTGGAGTATTATGATGGTGAGACTGTGAGGGTCTACTAGTCTAGCAATTTCCTAAAAACAAAAAAGCCTTTTGTACACACTATTATACACACTTTTGTGCACACCTATGTTTGTGAAAGGTTTTTTTATCTGTGAACATCGATTCACATACAATGTTTTGCACAAACAAAATATTGTCTCTGAACCGGGTTCACAAACAAAAAAACTTCACAAACATGATGTGTATAAAATGTGTAGAATGGTATATACTTCAAGAGTTTTGTTCTAAAAAATACGAGTATAGAATTTGGAAAAGAACAAGCTTTTACTTTTAATGGGTCCCATACTCCCATTACGAGAATAAAGATTACCATCCTGAGGAAACTTTCAGCCACGTTTTCTCTCTCATACACTGGTCATGGAGTCAAGACAAATCAACTCTTCCCGACTCATCCTCTCACCTTGTTGCTCTCCTTTTGGTGCGTTAACAAACATTTCCTGATTTCCATCATCACTCTCGAATTTCCAGATCTCACTCTGCCTAATCTTCCATGTCCGAAACTCAGCAACGATTCCGCGGCGTCCGGCAACGGCGTATGAGATGGACCGCCGAAATTCGCCACCCTCTACTGCAAGTCTTCTTCTTTCTCCTTTTAAATTAACGGATAGAAATTCGCCTCCTCTCAGCTGGAGGCTATACAGCCTCATCTGAAACATTTCAAGAATCAAGGATAAATAAAGAGAAGAAAAACCCTCAAATTATAAAATGGAACAAAGAGGAGGGGAAGCAAATACCTTCAAAGCCGTCAAAGCAATGCATTCTTCTGCCCGGACGATCAGGAGGTTAGGAAAATGGAAATTGTTGAAAAAAGCAGAAGTAATCCAGATCTGGCTGGCCGAGGAACCAGTCCTTTCCAAAATCTCGTGGACTGGGTCCTCCAGAGAAATTCGCCGGACTTGCTCTGTCACGCTGGCAACATTAGCCTATACGGCATCCAGACTCACCTCCTGAGCAGCTTGAAAATGCTCAGAAAATTGGTGCAACTGATCTGACCCAAACCGATCGTCGATCAGCATATCCTCAAATTGGTCCTGATGAAGAGGAACTTGCTGGATTAGTTGGACCTCTTGAACGGACTAAGGTTGCTCGACACTCTGCGAAGTGATGTGAGTTTTCTCGCACTTAAAAACATTGTATAATAGTGGTGAAAGTACGAGTATCATCTCTACAGGGACGGACAAAAGGGAATTAAAGATTAATTAAATTTAGCAATTAAAAATAAATAAAATAAATGTGTCGTGCGAGATTGGTTGGTTGAATTAAAATTAAGCTAATGCGAATGAACGATTAAAATAAAAGATTGGGTTCTCTCTAATTAACGACGAAGGGAACGAGGATTGATTCCAGGGTAATCAGATTTCTGATAGATCAGGCCTAATTACATGAATTTAAATTAATTGAGTCTAGCTAATCAATACTAAGTTCTTACCGCTCTCGCGGCGTAGAGTAAAATAATCAGTTAATTATTTTTTAAAATAGAGGAAGTGATCCAGCTCAACTGGTCGCCGAGTCACTCTCCAGTTCAGGGGTTTCTGGATTCGAAACTTCATAAAGAGAATTTCAACCCGATTTATCTCAAGCTCCCCCCGCCTCCCTCCCCCAAATCCTCTAAGATAAAAAAATCTAAAATATAAATGATACTCCCTCCGTCCCAAAACAACTTCCCACTTTCCTTAAATGGATGCCCCAAAATTAACTTCACATTTCTTCCAACTTCCTTTTTTGGCAAATTATCTACATAAAAACAGTGTCAAACAGTACCAAACAGTGCCAAACAGTGCTAAACTGTGTCAAAACAGTGTCCAAACAGTGTCAAAACAGTAAAATTTACCCCCGATAAGTTTATTTCCTTAATATGTGTGGAAAACAAAGTGTGAAGTTGTTTTTGGGACGGAGGGAGTACATTTTAAGACGTAGGAAACACGAAAAAACTAGGAAATTATACTTTCTTTTCTTTTCCGTCCATCTCAATATTAACTCTAATTTCAATTTTTGGCAATAATATGTAGTTTTCGTTGTATTTTTTGTGAAAATCGCGGATTCTCTTAAATGAGCATATATGCAATTTTGATGAGCATCAAGCATGTTTTTTTGAGTATTAGAAGCTAACGGTGAGCATCGGTGATCTCTGCTTCATACCATATATATCACTTTCTGTTTATTACTACATCCGTCCCTTAAAACTTTGTCAACTTTTCTTTTTTGGACGTCCCACTAACTTTGCCACTTTCGCATTTAAGTAAAGAATTTGTGATTCCGAATAATTCTCTCTCCTCTGCACAATTCTCAACCACACAGTTTTTACTTTATGAATCTCCGTGCCGGTCAAACTTGGCAAAGTTTTAAGGGACGGAGTGAGTATTTTTTTGTTGTTTAAAAAGTGAAGTTATGTCTATAATCAATTTCAATTAATTTCAATATAGTATGATGTGTTTGAAATGTGCAACCTTTTAAAATGAGCATAAATCAATATCAAATGAGTACACATAACTTCCAAAATGAGTATCAAAAAAATTAAAAGCTCATTTGTGTGTGCGCATTCCTTTCGGGCGTTTTACTCATTTGAGTTTAACATAAAACTCATTTGTAATGTGAATCTAATGTAGTATAATATGTTTGAAAGATACATGAATATGTCATTTTAAAATGAGTATTACACTAATTTCAAATGAGCACACATAAATTACAAAATGAGCAACGGAAAATTCAAAAAACTCATTTAAAATATGTAGTGTGCTCAATTAATTCAATTGTATATGCCCATTTAATTTCAACAATGGGGCGGCGCACCGACGGAATGAACGATATCAACAAACCAAAGGCCAATCAAATTAAACAAGTAGGCTACTTAATGCTTATTCCATGAATTTAGGTGAAGAAGGATGAAAGGATCCACACCACTACGCCCTTCCCACTAATCCACACCAGTGCTTCTCACCGAATGAATCTGCACTCGATTCATCTTAATTTAGGGCTAGAGGGTTAGGCAATCATCTGGATTTAGGGTTGGAAGGTTAGGCGGAGTAATTAGACAGAGGAAGAGAGTTCTAAGAAAGACGATGATTCTTTCGAATCGAAGAGGAGCACGGACGAAGAAATCAGTAGCAGGTAGAGGATGAGGAAAGCAAAAGTCATGACCCCGTGACTGTTCATACTTCAATTTTTTACCCTCGTGTACCCAACTTAAATCCACGCGTTTTCCACAAAATCAAAATAGGAGAATATTTGGACAAGTGGAGTATTATGATGGTGAGATTCTAAAGTACGAGTTTTTAATGGGTCCCATACTCCCATTACGAGAGAAAAAGAGAATAAAAAAGGCATCCTCAGAAAACTTTCAGTCACGTTTTCTCTCATAATACACTGGTCATGGAGTCCAGACAAATCAACTCTTCCTGACTTTACCCTCTCATTTTGGTGGGTTAACAAACATTTCCATCACTACCGAATTTCCAGATCTCTCTCCGCCTAATCCTCCATGTCCGAAACTCAGCAACGATTCCGCGGCGTCCGGCAACGGCGTATGGGATGGACCGCCGAAATTCGCCACCCTCTTCTGCAAGTGTTCTTTTTATTCTGATTCCGGATTATGTTTTTATTCCCGAAATAATAGTAATTTCTATCAAGTTTATATAAAAATGTAATGTTTTAAAATACGAGAATATCCGGCAGAAATTACTTCCGTTTAGAATATAAGCAACATGTAAATCATATTTTGAACGTTTATCCATATCCTCTGTTTTTGTGGTCGCAGGAAGAACAAAATATGCATAGGAACCTACCAAAAAGCAGAGGATGCGGCGAGGGCGTACGACGAAGCTGCGAGGCTGATACGAGGAGAAAAGGCGAAACAGAATTTCCCTTACGAAGCCGCTAGTGATGATCCGGAATCTTCTTCGTCGGTGAAGTTCCTTTCTGCTAATCTGATTGCTAAAATTGAAAGGTGTCAAAAGGCATCGGTCGATCTCGCTAAAAGTCTCGCCGGTGCGTCCAGTGGCCAAAAGTATCAATCGCCGGCTGTTTGCAGCGGAGTTGGAGTTTCGGAGAAGAAGACCGAGCGAAGTGGCGGCGGCGGCGGCATCGATCTGCCGGAGAGTTCAGTGGGATGTCAAGGTCACTGACTCGCATGTGTGTGGACAATAATTGATCAAGGCTTAGGCTCGTTTATTGCATTTCTCGGGAGTTTTAGCCGGCTTATTATTTAGTCAGATTGGAATTATAGTTCAATTTACGTCCTTATGATGTACCGTTCGGTAGTCAGATTGGAATTATAGTTCAATTTACGTCCTTATGACGTACCGTTCGGACGGGATGTCATCTTTTTTTTCATTGTTGTCCTCCAATATTATGCTAGAAACACTTTTGGTAAATATGAGCATAAGTTAATGATAGAAATGTCTCTAACACAATAATTGAACACAAAAATAAAAGAAAATAAAAATCAAATGCCAAAAATGTCATCTACACCGTAAAATGGGACCAAACGTGGCAAAAATTCAATTTATCAGTTAGAATAGTTGCTTGATCTTAGGGAATTTTCATCCTTAGTTTGTATTAGTATGAGTTCGTGATTGTTTGCTTTACCCCTTTTTAGACGCAAATTATATGGTATGACCGTCATACAGGGATGGATTTAAGGGGGGCGACCGCCCCCCTTGGACTTTCAATTTTTTTTATTATATATGTAATATTTTCATACTTTAATTAGATATATATGTTTTCGCCCCCCTTAACTTTTAGTTTTAAAAATTTATATATAGCATTACATAATGTAATACATAATTGGAGATTTAAAAAAAGTAACATCTAAAATAATTTACTTAACTTGAATGAATAAACAATAGCACAACCCATTGTTTAAGACATACGACATCTATTGTATAAGGGGAAAATAATTTAATTATCCCAAACTTTGAAAATGTGTGATGTAAACACCCCAAACTTTCATATATAATATTTATATTTCAAACTTTATATAAAAAGTAATATTAGTACCATGAAAATATGTTTTCTTAATTCACAATGTATATTTATGATGCTTTAACTACATCTCTATAAATGTTTAACTATTTTAAAACATGTGCTTAACACCATAAGTTTACATTTTTGAATAAAAACTACATAGTAATGGTGATAACATAACTTTTTATGTAAAGTTCGGGGTATATATATTACACATGTAGGTTTGGGGTACTTAACTCACCCTTTTAAAATTTGGGGTATTTAAATTATTTTCTCCATTATAAAAAATTTCTAGCTTTGTAATATTTAATTGTCTTTATTAGATAATTAGTACTCAATTTTGTAAAATATCGAACAATATTAAATAGCATACACACTAGTTAAATAATTTTTAGATCATGTGAAGTAAATCTAAAATATAAATGTTTATTGATATTAAATTGCACAATTCATTTACTTATTACTTTCTAAATACAATTTGTTGAATATATAGATAATAAACTTGAACTTACTGTAGCATTAATACAAATACAATATGCACCATATATGTGAATTAACAATACTATGTATAATATTATTCTAGAATAATAATATCACACATACTATTGTAATATTAAGAAAACTTCTCGTGACCCACGAACACCATCCTTACTAAACAAAAATTGCAATTCAAAAACCAATTCTTTATTCTAATAAGATCCATATGGATAAACAAGGCAGAAGTTATTTAAAAATCTTGGTTGATGTGTACTTTTTAAACTCTTTATCTTCAAATAATTTTCATTTGATTTGTCATTTCTTATGCTTTAATGTATCGATACTTTTTTTAGAGCATTTACAATTAAAAAATTAAAATTATTTTTCCATTGTTTAAACATAGAATGTAATATTCTTTCAAAAAAAACTTAGAATGTAATAGATTTAAATATCATCGTGTATGTACCGATGAATTTTTTTGAATGAAAATTAGGCGCAAAGCTCTATGCTAGCAAAAAAAATCACCCCGCTACACAAGCGGAAAAAATTGCCACGATACACTAGCGAATTTTTTTGGCCCCCTATACTAACAGAAAAAATTCGCCCCCCTTGACTCGGTATCCTGGATCCGTCCCTGCCGTCATACCATGCGCATGGTATGCCGGTCCAAATACAGCACCGTTTTTACTTCGTTTTTCTCTAGAGCACTATCTCTTTTCTTTTCCTTCAAGACTTAAGTCTCCAGATCTTTTTTGGAGCACTAACTCTTTATTTTTCTTTTTTGTTTTCTTCAATTATTTTCTTCTTTCCATCAAAATATTAAAAATTAATTTCGATTTTTCTTATATTTATCTTTAACTAATTAAATTGTAATCGAAAAAACTTTTCTTTATAAATTCATTACAAATTTTTCTTAATCCACATAAAATAAGTACAATACATTAATAATCATACATTAATTTTGCCCAAAAAATAATCATACACTACTTTTTTACTTTTTTTCTTCAATTGAAACTACTACCGAATTTATAATTTCTTAGAGGTTTTTAAGACATTGAGTTTGTTTATTTTGATTATTGAAGTTACATTTGATAATATATCATGAAATTACATGTTCTTTTGCACAAGTTACATCTCAATATACGCGAGTTACATCTTAATATACACGAGTGTCATCTTAATATATGCGAGTTACACCACAAAATAAACTCTAGCTATATCATTTTTATTGCCCTAATATTAAAAATAAAACATATTCACTATTTATAAAAAAGTAATTGAGCTATTAGAATCAATTTCTCTTTGTTTACATTGAATTATATCTCAAACACACAAAAAAATCATTGTTCAATTTTTCAACAAGTTAGATTTGACATCAACGTGAGTTACATTTGTAATAACACGAGTTACATTAAAAAATCAACCCCTGCTATTGAAACAAAACAAATGATCTTTCCTAAAAAATTATTTTTTATGGTCATGATATTAAAAACAAATCATATTCACGTTTTACCTAAAATAATTGTGCAATTAGACTCTTTTTTTCATTATTTACATTGAAATCAATATTTGACAAGTTACATTTTGGATGGGCTTGAGTTACATTGATCAATAACGCGAGTTACATATCTTTACACACGAGTTACATAAAAAAAAATCAACCCTTACTATTGAAACAAAAAAATGATCTTTTTTTAAAAAAAATTGATAATCATGGTATTAAAAACAAAACATATTCACGATTTAAGTAAAGTAATTATGGATTTAGACTCTTGTTTAATTGTTTACATTTTTCATAATGCGAGTTACACCACGATGAGTTACTCCCTCCATCCCTTATAACTTTGCCAACTTTCCTTTTTTGGATGTCCCACTAACTTTGTCACTTTCCTTTTTAAGTAAAGAATTTGTGGTTCCAGTTAATTCTCTCCTCTGCACAATCCTCAACCACATAGTTTTTATTTTATTAATCCCCGTACCGATCAAACTTGGCAAAGTTATTAGGGACGGAGAGAGTACATTAGAATGCACTGTATTTACATTTAAAAGTAGCGCCATTTACATACCAAAACAAAGAATTTACATCACGAAAAAAATTGAGACAAATGCAAGGGTACTATTCACGCAAATTTTACACCTGGGAGTACGGTGCTCATCGTGCACCGGTTGCACGGTATAGAGACTGCTTTTTGGGATGGGTGACAGATCGAATCCCAATCTCTTCCATGTTTAATAATACTCCGTGTAATAGGGAGTGGTAAATTCTGGTAAAATTATCTGAAAGACTGAAACTACGGATAACGTGGCAAACATCATGTTGAGTTTAGAAGCATAAGAGGCATTCACATTATTTCCCACAAAAAGTTTAATCACTCTATCCTATCACATTTCCCCCACTATGGTGACCCACGTCACTTAAAATTTGTACATTCTCTCTCCATATTTTTGGTATATTCCACCATTATTAATTTATATAATTTGGAAAAGAAATATAAAATTCACATTTAATTTGATCAACTATGATTATTTATTGTCGTCATTGTATCTAGGTAGAGAATGAGTTAGATCCATTTCAGAGGAAAATTTATCTAAACAGATAAAATAAGTTGCAAGAGGAAAATAAATGGTAAATTTTGAAGTGACTAAACATATTCTTCATTGATGTCTATTTATAAATGAAAAAATCTAATCTTTTATTATTATTTTTTTTTGCAATAAATTAAATTTAATGAATAATAAATGAAATTATGGATTCAGGGGATATTTGATTAGGTTGGTGGCTATGTTGATGGGGAAGAGAAGACACATGGCCTTTTGTGATTGGTTAGTCACAAAAGTTTGCTTAGAACTCATTTTTAATCTTCCCATTTGATCGATCACTTCATTGATCTCCCATAGTGTGGGTCAACCCCCATCACTTTTTGTTTTTTAACCTAACTTGACCCTCCCATGTGGGTGCTCTAAGGAAAATATTTAAGGAAAAACGAAATGTTTTAATTACACAGTTTGTTTAAAAAAATCAGTAATTATCACGGTATGTAAGTGAGTGTACAAAAAGTATACATTTTTTGTGTATAGCTAGAATTGCTCAAAATTTAGAAGTGTAGAAATATTTATCGAAATGAGATCCTTATTTATATACTCCCTCCGTCCCCCTAATTTTGTCCCGTTTTACCTTTGTCGTCCGTCCTATTAACTTTGTCTCATACCATATTTGGTAATATTTCTGTGGTTATAATTCACTTACTTTATTCACATTTTATCAGTTTAATACAAACCACACAATTCTACTTTGTTTTTACTCCAGGGGGTCTGAGGGAGGGGGAGCTGGGGGGCCTGTAGTAATCAAGGCTGAAACTCACTCCATTGAGTTTCAAACACTTTATGTGCTTAGCGGGTTTCGAACTCGAGACCTCTCACTGGGCACGGTAACCTCGCAAACAGCTGAGATAGAATGCTTGGTTACTACACAATTCTACTTTTTTCTTAAAACCCACATCACACATCTTTGTCCCAAATTTAGGTGGATGGAGGTAGTACTATTTCTTGATCAAAATTTAAGAGTTAAGCTTGATGATCGCAAACAATGATTCTATTTATGAGGAGTGAGGATGAAAGGAATATTTGATTAAATTATCCGCCTTAGGGCATCCTCATTGGGATGATTATTATAAGATTAAATTGGTGACATGACAGTTTTTTTAGAGAATTATCAATGAGTGACATAGATTATTTAATAGGATTATTTGCTACAATAATCTGGGATCAAAATATGAATCCGGATTATTTTAAGATTATTTGAAAAGTATATGTAATAGAGATAAATGCGGGACAGAGAAAAAACAGATTATTTGAAGATGATGATTGAGAGACATAAACGAATTTTGAGATTATTTTATAATTAATTACATAACAATATTTTAATGGTAAGAATCATATAAAAAATTGATTATTAGAGATCATGAATGGAGATGCTCTTAACGATAGGGAAAAAGTTAGATGGAGTTTCACTCATATAGATCATTTATCAAAAAATGACTTGGGTATTCAAATGGTTGACATTTACCCAAATGATCTAGTTTATATCGGATCTCCTTTTTAAACCTATTTCTCTTCCTCGAGGAAGAAGAAGACAAAAAGTTTATATTTGAGTGTTTAGGTGAAAGTGCATAATTATTTTTTAGTGTTCCAAAATATTCATAGAAACAATTGTTGAAGTTGGAGAGATCAACATAAGCATAATCATATTGATCAAAATTTCTATAGTTCCAGAGAAGAGCAGTTGTGGCTGGGGTGGAGCAAGTAAAATTTCTTGATCTTTATAATAATGTTGTTTGTACAGTTGGGAAGTTGAACCAACAACTTTGACAAGACCCAATTACTACATATGGCAAAGGGCCGCTGGATAGAGAAACGCTCGATCTGTGCCAACATCATAAATGGACCGCAACCCATTTCAAATGGTTGCGCCCACGTTTCGGGAAATAATGACCAAACGGACACCTGCAACTTTGCGCTCGAGCTCCACCAGCAAACAAGCTACAATTGTGTTTTCTCAAGCATGCTATGATTACCATGTTTTTATTTCCAAGCTCGAGCTCCGGCAAATTTGTTGATCTGGTCTCTTTAAGTCTAGTTTAGTCAGGTCTGTTTAAGTTTGATCTGGTCTAGTCTCTGTGTATTCATAACTATGAAAGTCAAGTCTGGTCTGTTTATATCTGATCGGTCTGGTCTAGTTTGTTTAAATTTGGTCTGGTCTGGTATGATCTGTTTAAGGCTGGTATGATTTGTTCTGATATTGACAGTCCAAGTAAAAACATCCTACATGTATTGATGTACACGTACACAAAGAGTATACGAATAGTAAAAAAAAAATACCCCTCCTCATTTACCTCTTCCATGTTTTTCTATTTCTTTTCTTTTTCATTTCTTTTTTGTATAATCACCACATCTCATTTTCATCTTTTTTTTTCTATTTTATTATTATCGGAGATTCTCAGGAAAATAATATTAGAAAATTATCGAAATGACAACTTTATCACATTTCATCTTACTCGCATTATCAGGTTTTCTCCAACTCGGAAAAAATAATCATAAATGAAAAGTTGTCAGTAAATAAAACTGGAAAAATACTAAATTCAAACCAGTGCATGTAGACATACAAAAAATGAGTGTATATAAACAACTAATGTATGTGCGCGAGCACTAGTTTGAATTTATTAATCTATAGATATATAAAATTTTCACATTATCAAGATAGTTAGACATAAAATCACACTTTATTTTATACGAAGTACTACCTTCATCCCATAATGGTTGTCTCATTTCAATTTGGCACAATTATTAATCAAATGGTTAAAAAGTAAAAGTTGTGATTGAAATTTGAGTAGAATGAAGTGAAACGAAATGAACCACAAATTTCTTACAAAAAAGAAATACATGACTTTGGGACAACCTAAAAAAGAAAGTAAAACAACCAAAATGGGACATGGAGTATATACTAGTGCATCTCAAAATATAAATGTATTCGATATATAATACTCCGTACGTAACTAATTTGAAATGAAAAACAAGTCAAACAATTATAATTTTGAAATTTAAAGTGCACATACTCAAATTCTCGAATAAAAGACTCTCAATGAACATAGAAAACAAAACTCTAATAACAAAATAAAAGTTAAAATAAATATTTCCATTTGAGCTACTATTACCACTAGGGACTCCAAATCAAACCAAAGTAAAATTTCTTTTTAATACTTTTTTTACGGAGTATTTTTTAAGACTTATTACATAAATTTTTGGGTGTTATCTTCATAAAAAAGTTGATACGTGCTCTGTTACGATACGTGTGCCCAAAAATTTAAAATAATTACCACTAGGTGCATAAATAATGAACATTTTAAAATCATCTTTATACTCAAAATAATTTCATATTAAAAAATAATATTAGTCAAAATTTATCGAAAATTTGATAAATCTTTTTGGGATGGAGAGATACATAACGACAATTTGATAAATCTTTTTGAGATACACTAAAAAGTGACTATATCAAGTATGAAGGTATGTATCAAAATAATAACGGCATATAATTATTATTAGGGTGCTTCTACGGTGCACTCCTTAATTTGGTGTGTTTTGATACACATCCTTTTTAACCACCCATGATCCTCTTTAACCACTCATCCCATTATATCTTAATCTTATGCCACCTAATATCCTCATTAACTAAACATAATAATTTGTCATTTTTGCATTTGGATCCTTCACCGGCTTAGAAAAAAAGGTTAAACTGAACAAAATCGTCAAAGGAGATTTATTTAAACAGAAATAAATAAATATTTAATTGTCAAAGTATGTGCAAAGTTTAAAAGTATTCAAAATAGGAATTATTATTTGTAGTTGGATAGGAGTACAAAAGTACCCCTTGAAGCTTGACAAAACTTAATGCGGCCGAACATCGCTGTTGACCGCTGGCAGTCGGCGCTACACATTTGGCCGCCGTCTTCGTATATCTGGTCAGATCTGGGTGTCACCGATCTGACCACCGACATTGCACATCTTGCCATGAACCACCACCGTACATCTGACCAGATCTGGCCACGTCGGCCGCCGGCGCTAAAGATCCGGCCTCTACCGCTAAAGATTTGGCCTACACAGATGCCGACTCCGCGGATCCGGATCACCGGTATAGGGAACTAGGGGGCAATTGTTTATAGGTTTAAATATGATTTAAGTCCTTGCAATTTTTTTTTATGTTTTTCATTCTTGTATTATGCATTATTTGGTTTTTAGTATATCACTAAAAAAATCATCCCTATAAATTTTTTGAGGAAAATATGATAGTTAAAAAAATAAAAACTAATTACTCACATTTTTAAAATACGTATTAAATTCCATCATTAGGTAGACTAAAAGAAAAATTAACATACATTTTAGAAATGAAAAACAAAAAAATAATTTCGCAGGGATACTATATTTGCAGAGACTAAAAAATATTTAAACCTTATTTATATTAGGAAGGACAAATATGGTATAAAAGTCATATTAAAGAAACAATTCAATCATATTTAGGCTAATAACTCAATCATCATTACAAATCGTTAATCATATTTAATAGCACAATACTAAAATGTGGCTGGATAAGAAAAGGTGTGTACCGGTACACTCAAAATTTTTGAGTGCACAGTAGAATTTTCCTTATTAAAATAACCCTTATTTTGGCATCCCCTCAAATTGGCTTCTCTCTGCTCTCCACCAAGCCTCTCCCTCACGTCAAACATCTTCATCAGTCCAATTGTGATGTGTACTTGCAACAGATTTATCACACACCATCTCGTCCATTCTTCTGCTTCTACCCCTTTCTTCGAAATTTGAGGGCTAAATCCCTATTGCCGATTAGATTTTGCTGCCACTTCTTAGCGTTCCAGTGATATCAATAGAGGCTCGGGTTAATTCGTTGGCGTCCATGGCGACTAGGATTCACTAACGTAGACGATAGTGAAATCACTATAGAAGTGACGATGAGTTCCAGAGTGAAATGGTGTATCATTCATTTGACGTGAGTCATTGGCCGACATCGATGTAGTCACTGTCATATATGTGTAGGTATCTTCCGCCTTTTTTCTTGGAAGTTGCCAAGAGACACCTTAACATGGAGGCACCTTCTTGGAAAGAGGTCTCCAACAAATAGGTGTGGGAGAAGATACGGAGATAACTAGGAAGCTTGGATGCAACTTCCTCATGTCTCCAAACCAGCCCTATAAATAGAGTGCTCCATTGTTGTTCATAGTATCAGTTTAGAAAGTGAGAAAAGTGTGTGAAGAGTGAAATACACTTAGTGTAGAAGTGTATTGGTGAGGATTGATTTTTTGTAATAGTTGAGTGTGAGAGTTTGCTCCTCCTATTGTAATTCTGTTCTTGATATTGAATAGAAGAATTTTCCAATCCCAACAAGTGGTATCAGAGCGAGGTTGAGTTTCCATACACTATTTTCTCATTTTCAGATAAATTTCTACAAGTTAGAAAATCGTGATTTTTCAAGTTGCTCGGAATCAGGATCTGATCATACCGTCAGATTTGTCTCGGCGAGACGAGAAATCTGGTATTTTTGGGGATTTTTTTGGCCAACGGAAGAGGCCGTACGCGCCGCCGGAAAACTGCCTGCATCATCACTGCGTCATCACGCAGTCCAGAGGAAGAAGACGATCCACGTCAGCTGCCACGTCATCGACACGTTGGACCATGTCAGCGACACGTGGTGCCGAGTCATCCGCCACGTCATCCACCCGAGCCGTCCGCTGTGAGCCACGTCAGACGCCACATGGCTACACGTCATCGCCACGTCAGCGAGGGAGCAGAGCCACGTCATTCGCCTGCTGGGCTGCAGGCTGGACTGCTGCCTGAACCGGACCGAACCGGTTCGTGCTTTTGGAGGCCGGTTCACCCGTTTCCAGACCAGTTTTGGACGAGGTCAGACCGGTTCTTACCATTTTCGGCCATTCCGGATCCAACAGTGAGCTCCGTTTGTCCAAATTCGGCTTCGAAAATAAGGTGCGAGATATATAGAGCGTTTTATTATGGATAAATCATCGTCGGACACCATGATTGCGCTCACATCCACAAACTACAATATGTGGAAGCCTCGGATGGAGGATTTGCTAAATTTGAGGGATTTAGCGGATCCTCTTGACAATAATGGTGTGAAACCGAATAAAAAGACGGATGAAGAATGGACAAAAATGAATCGAAAAACTGTCGCACAAATTCGACAATGGATAGATCATAGTGTGTTCCACCATGTTGCTCAAGAACAAAGTGCTTACACACTATGGGAGAAGCTTGGTAGCATGTATCAAGCAAAAACCGCCCGAAATAAGACGTTACTAATGAGGAGATTAGTAAACCACAAATTACGTGGGGGTATTTCGGTGTCAGAACACACCAGTCAATTCCAGGATCTTGTGAATCAGTTGAGCACCACCGGATGGGTTTTCAAAGATGAAGAGCAGGCGATACTACTCTTGAGCTCTCTACCTGACAGCTGGGAGACTCTTGTTGTCACTCTCAGTAATTCTGCTCCAAATGGGAAGGTGACTATGCAGATGGTCACAGATGCCCTGATGAATGAAGAAGCCCGAAGGAAGGAAGCCGGGACGGAACAATCATATGTCCTCATATCAGAAACTAACAGACGAGGGGGAGGCAGGAATGGAGGAAGAAGTCGAGGTCGAGGTAGAGGTCAAGGTCAAAGTAGAGGAAATTCTCAACTTCGCGGAAGATCACAAGAGAGAGGTATGTCCTTTGAAAACAATACTTGGTTCGAAGGATATTGCAATTACTGTAGTAATTATGGACATAGGAAAAGAGATTGTAGAAAGTTTCTACGAGAGAAGCCACAGACGAGTCAAAATACTAGCCAAGAAGATGGTGAGACCATGGTTAGTTTGTCATCAGACGTGTGTCTTGTTACACATGGTGAACAAGAATGTTTACACGTAGGCACTCATGATGTTGAGTGGGTGATTGATACAGCCGCATCATTTCACGCCACTCCACACCAGAACTTATTCACAACTTATAAGTCCGGAGACTTTGGAGCTGTGAAGATGGGAAACACCAGTTTCTCGAAGATTGTTGGCATTGGTGATGTGCACATAATAACCAATGTCGGATGCGCACTTGTGTTGAAAGATGTTCGACACGTTCCGGATCTTAGATTGAATCTTATCTCCGGTACAGCTCTGGATCAACAAGGATATCTTAACCGATTCAAAGAAGGTACGTGGAAGCTATCTAAAGGTTCCTTGGTTGTTGCAAGAGGCCATATTTGTGGCACTCTTTATAAAACTCATGCAAAGTTGTGTCATCCGAGTCTCAATGCTGTTGAAGAAGAGATATCACCAAACTTGTGGCACCAGAGGTTAGGTCACTTGAGCGTGAAGGGATTGACAACTCTTGCAAAGAAGGAAGTCATTTCCATGGGCAAAGGTGTTGCCCTAGATTCATGTGAGCACTGTCTATTTGGGAAACAACACAAGGTTTCCTTCAGTTCTACCAAGAAGAACCATACAGAGTTACTCAGTCTTGTCCACTCTGATGTATGTGGACCCATTGAAGAGGAGTCACTTGGAGGAAGCAGATACTTCGTGACATTCATTGATGATGCATCACGAAAGGTATGGGCCTACTGTTTAAATCGTAAGGATCAAGTGTTTGATCGATTCAAATCATTTCATGCCATGGTAGAAAGAGAAACAGGGAAGAAGCTGAAGTGTCTGCGTTCAGACAATGGAGGAGAGTACACTTCCCGAGAATTCTCAGCATATTGTGCCGCATATGGAATCAGACATGAGAAGACGGTTCCACGAACTCCGCAACACAATGGTGTAGCCGAAAGAATGAATCAGACCATTATGGAGAAAGTTCGTTGCATGTTGAGTCTGGCTAAGCTACCTAAGCCATTTTGGGGTGAAGCTGTGCTGACAGCTTGTTATCTTATAAACAGGTCACCTTCTGTTCCTTTAAACTTTGAAGTGCCAGAGAAGAAATGGTCAGGAAGAGATGTTTCTTACTCTCACTTGAAAGTGTTCGGGTGCAAGGTATTTGCACATGTGTCCAAGGAGTTGAGACAGAAGCTTGATCTCAAGTCAAACCCATGTATCTTCATCGGCTATGGAGATGAAGAATTCAGATACCGGTTGTGGGATCCCGAAGTGAAGAAAGTTATTCGAAGCAGAGATGTTGTATTTCATGAAAACGAGTTTCATGGGTGTGCTCCAATAATCCGCCAACAACATACTCTAGAAGACGAAGTGCCTGTATCATCAAACATTCCTCTCAGCGACGAGGAGATGCATGATTCTACTGAACACGAGAGTGATGGTTCAGCAAGTGATGATGATACTCACAGTGATGATATTCCTCAACAGGGGGAGCCTTCATCTGAAGACGAATCTGAAGGTATTCATGTTCGACGTTCTATGCGAGGCATAGTTCCACAACGAAAATACTCCACATCCGAATGGATACTTGTTGCCAGCGAGGGGGAGCCAGCGAGCACCGCAGGAACGAGAGAAATAAAGAAAAAGGTGGAGGGGGAGATTTGTAGGTATCTTCCACCTTCTTTCTTGGAAGTTGCCAAGAGACACCTTAACATGGAGGCACCTTCTTGGAAAGAGGTCTCCAACAAATAGGTGTGGGAGAAGATATGGAGATAACTAGGAAGCTTGGATGCAACTTCCTCATGTCTCCAAACCAGCCCTATAAATAGAGTGCTCCATTGTTGTTCATAGTATCAGTTTAGAAAGTGAGAAAAGTGTGTCAAGAGTGAGATACACTTAGTGTAGAAGTGTATTGGTGAGGATTGGTTTTTTGTAATAGTTGAGTGTGAGAGTTTGCTCCTCCTATTGTAATTCTGTTCTTGATATTGAATAGAAGAATTTTCCAATCCCAACAATATAGTGGAGTCACTGATTAGGTGGCCGGCGGAGTCACTCATTACGTGGCATAGTCACTATCGGTCGGGGCAGTCATGAACATGGTGTCACTAGATCGAAGTTGTCACCATTGGAGACGGCAGGGCAGTAATGGAGGTCAATTGCGTCACTGGTTGGAGTTTCAGGGTGAGGGAGTCACTAACTAGGCAGTCGCTGTGAGATATATGTTTGTGATCATGTAGTCACTAATGGCAGCGGCGGCGGAGTTGGAGGCGGCGACGGTGGAGATGCAGGCGGGGGAGGAGATGGTTGTGGCGTTCATTGCATAGATTGGCTAAAAGGATTGAGTAATTTTTAATTATAAAAATGAAAAATCACAATCAATCATAAATGCAATATTAAATAAGGGCATAAATAAGATGGGAAACATGTGCATCAGGTATGGGAGGGGGGTGGATAGAGGATTTAGCCGGAGATGGAGTTTGAGGGGAAGGAGGCGACGGGAGAGCCTGGACGGCTTGCTGGGTTTGTGTGTAGGTGGGCGACGGGCTAGCAGGCAGGGAGGTGGAAGGCAGATGGATTGAGGAGGATATCCAAGATGCAGGGGCGGACCCAGGAAATTCACATTGGGGGGCGGTAATTTAAAGGAAAAAAATCTAGTTGCTCATTATTATAAGTTATAACCTTTATACAATAGTAATAAAATGAAGCATTAAAATAGTACACAATAGGCAAAAAATAGAAGAAGAGACAAATATATTATTACAAAATAGTAAAGTTAATACCTTAGAATTGTGCTCGACGCTCCTTCAACGAGATAAATTCCTCAATCACGGCTTTTGAGTCAAAAGTTTTAGCAATTTCTCTTTCAATATAAACAACAAGGTTGTCTACAAGATACTCATCCTCCATTTTATTGCGAAGCCTTGTTTTTATAATTTTCATTGCTGAAAAAGCCCTTTCTATTGTTGCTGTCGATACCGGTAGAGTCAACAAAAGTCAGATCAATCTATCAATAAGAAAGTAAACTTTTGACATCTCTGTCTCCGCTAATCCTTGACAAAGTTCAGCCATTGTAGACAAATTCGCCAACTTTGGATGGTTTAGAACATTGAGCTTATAATGTTGCAATTGAAACCTCAAGCCCACCTTCTCCTGCTCAATAAAATCAAAGGGGTAGTATTTATCCACTAAAGAACATATATCATCAACGTTAAAGGACTTATATGAGTCCTTAGGATCCAAAGCACAGCTAAGAGTAAGAAGATCCATTATCTGTTCATTGAATCTGCTATTCAGCTCTAACAATTGTGAATCTATGGCTGCGTAAAACATATCAACCCGATAGTGACGTTCAATATCAAACCCTTCTTGATCATGGCGTTTGCGTTTTACCACATAAGGAGACTTCATATTAGGAACTTCAATCTCATGCTTTTGGCAAAACACTTTAACAATTTCTAAGAAGTTATCCCATCCACCTTCCCTTAACTTTTGGATCAACATTTTGGTGCTTGACACCAAATGCATAGCATTTATTATGTCTTGGGACTTCTTTTGTAGATGCTGACATAGAAGATCTGTAATACTCATAATTTCTTTAATAAGATGCAACAAGAAAACAAAATCAAAAGATTTAATCTTCTTAAGTGCTCCAGCTGCATCTCCACGAGTAGAATAGTTATTGCCATTCTCTTCAACATCTTCTAAAACAGAACAACTTGTAGCAAACATCCTAATCAAACTGCAAACAGAACTGAAATGCGAGCTCCATCGAGTTTCCCCAACTCGTTGTAACGTACCAACCTGATTAAGTCCTCTGCCTGTTTCAAGCTCACCAATTTCCAACATTCTTGCAATTTCAAGTGCTTGAGCTTCCTTTAATTCATCATTTCGTTTGCAAGAAGAACTAGTCACATTAATAATAAAGACTAAATCGGTGAAAAAAATATGCACATATTTCACCTCTCTAGAAGCAGCAACCAATGCTAATTGCAACCGATGTGCTAAGCAATGAACATAGTATGCATAAGGACAATCATTTAAAAATAATGCTTTCAACCCATTCCACTCTCCCCGCATATTGCTAGCACCATCGTATCCCTGACCACGAATGTTCTGTACATCAAGACAAAATCTAGAAAGAACTGCACAAATTTCTTTTTTGAGAGTCATTGCTGCGGTATCTCTAACATGCACAACATCAAAGAAATGCTCTCTAATGAACCCCTTTTCATCAACAAATCTCAAAATAATAGCCATTTGCTCTCTCTTAGATTCATCACGTGCCTCGTCAACAATAATGCAAAACTTAGAATCACCAATATCATGTCGAATCCTATGTCGCACTTTAGTAGCAAGAATGTGTAAGATCTCCTTTTGAATTTTGGGAGAAGTATACATAGCATTTTTTGGAGCATTATCTAAGACAACACTAGCAACTTGTTCATTATATGATGCTAAAAGTGAAATCATTTCAAGAAAATTACCTCGATTTCTAGAACTAGAGGATTCATCATGACCTCGTAGAGCACATCCTTGTGAAGCCAACCACCGAACAACATCAATAGAGGTCATAACCCGTAAGCGGTTACCTTCCTTCATCTCTAGAGTTTGTGCTTCAATGACTTTGTCAATATGGAGAGATTGATTCAATAAGTCTTGACAACTTTTCCAACAATTATTGTGTGGAGAACATGGATCTTGGCCCACATGATTCAGGAAAGCACATCTAGCCCCGTTATTAACTTTTTTCCAACTATTAAAACCT